TAAGCTACTTCTCCACTAGCAAGGGTTATAGTTATGTGAAAAGAATAACGTGGCTAGGAATGACATCTCAAAAAACAAGAAGTCGAAAAGTTTGCCTTCAGACGTTAACAAGGTGAGATCATGTTCCCGGGCTCCTTGCTCCACAACTCTGCTCCGCCACCTTTCCACCGTTTGGGAAAAAATCTGAAATCATTGGCACTCAAACAAACAAGGTATCGATGTCATCCGTGGATTCAAGTTATGATCAAAGCACTTGTAACACACGAGCCCATCAATTCTATCATATTTCAGGAGATGATGTACACTTATCATAAAGAAACGGATTCAAAGAAAGAAAGAAACAAGTAACATAATACATTATATTCTTCAGGAAAACAGAAACAACTCCCTTAAAGCTTAGCCAAGACGAAGAGATTTAAGATGATGGATGGGAACGATAAGCCCTGAATTTTTCCTTGAAAAATGATCCATATTTTTCGAATGCATAATCATCTAGAAATGGATTTAAAAGATTCCTATCATTTCCAAAGAAATTCATTTGTAAACGAACCAGGTTGCGGTGAGGCATAAGCACAAAGAAGGCGTTTCTTCAGCCATCTTATGGCTAACAACCCTGCCCTAGCGTCTTTTTAACAATCTTCTTTGAAGCCAGAAGGTGGAATTGAAAAGGAAAAGAGTATTGCAGTCCTGCTTAAGCAGTTGGCACATTAAGCGAGGCACCATTTATGAAAATCTAAACAAGCAGAATCATAATTTAGAATAAGTAAAATGAAAGGCCTCAACGAGACTTAATTGGAAAAGCCTTAACCAGATGTTCCTCCTGGAATAGAACGACCCATGTAGACTCTTTTTTGTAAGAACTAGTAAACTGAAGTTCAGGCTGGCTGTTCTTGATTTTCTCGAAAATCTGTGGCTGGTTTGTTCTTAATTTGTTCTTCAGGCCTCATTTGCCAACAAAGTGAGCGACACAACCATCATTCATCTGAAAGTTTGAATATTCACCGAAAAAGCACCCACACATGGCTAAAACCCTGGTTTTTGAGACAATGTTGCTTGAAATTACATTTTAAAGTAGCTCAGCCTCGGCTTGTTTTTAACTTTTTCTTACCATCGACAAATTTTAAGATCCTTGTTCTTATAAAAATGTTCCTATGAAAAAGAGTGCTGTAAGTAAAAAATCCGAATGTGGGACCAGAAATGAAAATTGTATCTTTATTAATGCTAACATCTATCAAGTTTTTAAAATCTTATATTTTACTGCTCATTTCGTAATTAAATCAGAGTCTATGAATCAGAGTCCCTTTCAAAAATCATTTATTCTTCACGAAGTTGAAATAGCTACATTACAATACTGAGTAGAGCTGGGGTCACAGTTCATATGGTACCCGTTCAATGCAATGACATGCTTGACATAATATACAAATTGCTTGAAGACTGTATCAGCCCTTCTTCAATTTTTTATTTACCACCTATATTTAAAAAGACTAATTTCGTGAACATATTAAAAGACCCAACCAATTGGCACTTGCCATCGATGGTAGATTTATTGAATTTTGCCCAATAACGGAATTTCGGTATAGTACTTTTTTAGTTTGTTATTCATCAGTTGTTTTGCCGGAATCTTGAACTTTCTTACTTGGAAGATCTTTTGATACCACCAGAAAATGCAGGCAAAGAGGCCATAAAAATCTTTATAAAGGGCTAAAAATAAAAACTTAATTAACCAGGAAATTTAAAGATTCATATTTAATATATCATCAGTAAAAAGAAATACGCTAAAAATTCTGACCTTTTGAAATCATCTCGTTTACAGAATTAATAGCTAAAAATGGCTTTCTAATAAGAAATTAGCCAACAGGCCCACCTTTCGATTAAATAAAGAGGAGGAAAATAGCCAATTTGTTTAAAACGATGGGAAGTCACTGGGACTGGAGGGGAAATTTCCCCCTAGTTAGTATGTTGAAGAAGTATGAAACAGGGTCTAACAGTGATTATCCCAGAGACTAGTATGATAATTCTAATTTGCAAATAATTCTTAGAATACGTCCCCTCCCTCTTTTGTGGTTAATGATTTAAAGACATAGCATCCAGAGGACAATTTTACAATCTAAAACATTATCTTTGCATATTTTGCATTAGATTTCTATTTTTGTTTCCATTTTTAAGGTAAAATTCAACTTGCTTTTCCAATTTGAAAATCACAACTAGCATGAGATTGGGAATAAAAGAATTCAAAGTTTTGATTTTCAATTCACATCTTTACTAGAATGTCAACTAAACTTGAAAACATACCCAACAGGGGTGGAAAATTTAGATAAAAAGGTGATCCCCTGGTGGGAGACCAGCAGCTCTTTCAGTGCTCTCCCACATTTGGCTTGTGGTCTACCAAAACAGAACCCTGGCAACAGGGGTGGACATTTCCATTTCGAGCAAAAATTTGGATGTCCAGAGGTTACCCTATGTATCAAAAAAGGGTCTCTAGCAGATAAAAGCCAGTCATCTAAATGCACATGAGATTAAATTGTCCACCCTTGCAGGCTATTGCTGCGGTTTGTAGCATGCAAATGGAATTTACTGAGAGAAAATGTAAGCAAGTGATACAAAGGTAGTTGGTAGGGCAACAATGTACAACATAGATGATCGCTGGTTTGAACTATGCCCACTCACTCACATTTCTCTCAGTATGTTTTCCTGAGTCCTCTGCTCTTGTTACAAAAACAGTTGTCAAAGAAAAGGTTCAGTATTTTTAGCAACAGTGCTTGCAAGTATTTTTCAATAAGTCTAAAAAAAAGCTCTCCTATGATGCATAATGTAAGATTATTCTTTGCTCTTTATTGCCTGTGAAATGATTATTACGAAACTTGCAATTACTCTTCACATATTATGTTTCACAAGTATCCCTCACTCCTTGCTACTGCACTCTTGGTGCTTGAGCCAAACCCCATTTTGATGGGGGTTAAGTGCAACCGTTTTTGGTATAGAGGGTCCTGTTCCCTCAATTAGTCTAACAAATTAAATTCCTCCACATATAAAATTGAATGCAATCAGGTTGTAAAATTTGTTTGTGAAGTTTTGTATTCTTATATTCTAGTTTACTGTATGCATTGCAGTTATAAATAGTATTAAACTTAATATTTTTGTACAATGAATTTTGTATGTTGTGGAATTTCAAAATAAAAACTAAACTAAACTGAAGCAAAGTTTAGTTTGGAACACTTCCTTCAAAACAGGAGCTTAAAAACCTGCTTCCAGGCCAAATATGCTCCATGGGTGGCCAAGCCACATGTGCCGAAGTGGTCCTACGTACATGTGCACAAGATGGAGAAAAAACAGAATTTCTCGCTAGATGATTAGGTTTCCTGACAGGGGACTAAATATCTTCGTCACTCTAGTCTAATAGCAATTAGCTTAACCTTGCCCTACCCACGGGGAGGTAGCATGCTCCGACTTCCAGCGCAATACTACAATCAATACATCAACTTAGTTTTCTTAAAAATTCAACCTTTTTAAAAATTAGACTCTCTGTTTACGCTATTGCAAATGTATTATAAAAATTGTCCTATAGATATGTAGATATAACAGAAACTTACCACTTGGCTGTTGTCCCGCAACGTTAGGTGACATTGGCATTGCAGAATAAATCTAGCATTTTCTGCCCCAGAACTGAATCTCAAAATATAATCTTGATTTTCCTTGGTCATCTGCGAGACGAAATCGCCGTATAATGAACCTTAGTGAAAGAAAATTCTCCAAATAACGAAAGATCTCCAAAGACGGATTTGTGTTTTTCCTCCTTTCGGAATTTGCCGCCATTTCAGTCTGGATGGAAAGGAGGCTAATATTAAAATGCCTTCCGTCGAATCGCCCCACTCTCTCGTCACGAATAAACAACCACAACAAATAAGCCCCCGCCTCGGAGGTAAAAGTTTGGAAAAGCCCTCAGTTGCATAACGATTAGATAGCTTAAAAAAGAGTTAAGAAGTAATGAAATGACTTTGAAAATCTTGAAAAAGTTAGAAAACGCGCTATTTGTATTACAAAAAGCCCACCTGAAAAAACCCCCTCCCCTACTGAATCATTAACATTAGTAAATGTATAACGATCCCACTTTTTTGCAGAGCAGGCCAGTTAAATCGATGCACAATACAACAGTTTAATTTCCATCTTTCTATCTTTTCTTTGTTTCAATTTCCCATTCAATCCCAGACCAATTCCCAATGAGGCTCTCCCAGGGGTTTTCGGGAACAAGGGAACATGGCAACAAATGGTACAGGAACACGGGAACAACATAAATTTTTTTCCTAGTTTACGAGAAACACTATTACTAGTTTTAGGGAAACAGGGAAATTATTTTTAATTTCAACAGGAACAAGGGAACATTGGTTGTTTCTTCAAAGGGAACATGGGAACGAGTACCCACCCCACCCCCCTGGGAGACCATCACTGATCGATTTTCTTCATCCCCTCACTTAAGTGTTACCAAAATGGCAGCAGACCGCAATTCTGATGAATTGAAATACTAAAGCCTTTGTATCTTAGTACTACAGTTGTTGTTGTTGTTGTAAATTTCTTCTACTTTCATTGCTTCTGCTTCTGCTTTCATTGCAAATGTGAAATTCCAGCTGACTAGACAAGAACAAACTTTTCTTACAAGAAAACTAATAGCCGTGGAAGCTAACTAATAGACAGCAGGAAGGAGCTGAGCGACTGATAGCCTTTGGCTCAATGGTTACTATTTCATAAAATGCCACAATCTTACGAATCATTCTCCTCCAAATAATGTTGGGGAGAGAAGCAAGGTAGATTTATTTAATGACTAAATCATCCCCGTCTTGGGAAAAGTACAGCGTAATAATTATAAGCTCGATGTGTATGCTCTTAAACCCAACAAGGTGATTTCCTCAACCACTAGGACACTCTCTTGTTCTTTTTCTCGAAAAAACAGGGCCTTTATGCTTATATCCATCGGAAGATCTTCTCTAAAAAAATCCAATCAGCAATCCTTGTAATTCACTATCTCTATTTGAAGCAATGATTAGAATTCGACATTGCCGGATGGTTAATGCACTCAATCCGTTGAGCAATGACATAGTATATCGGTTATCGTATTTCAATATAACAGAGTACAGTAATACTTCTTTTATTAATAATGTTCGATTGTTACAAAGAGCAACAGATAGTGTGTAAAAACAATGCAAATCTGAGTCTTGGAAGAGAAAAATTTCCAGTTGCTCGCAGATAGTTCATTGTGACAAAAACCACAAAAGAGAATGCAGGACTAGGGTATCGTAATTAAGGGACAGGTTGGGGCAGTAACGGCGCCACGGGGGGGACGTGTCCCCCGTTCTCGGCAGGATCAATTTTGTAATTCGTCTAAATCCGATGAGAAGATGTTGGGGGAGGGGTAATATTTTGGCAACGTATTTTTTGTTCTGTGTTTTTACAATCTTTTGTTCCCCCCCCCCCGAACGTAGTGGCTGGCGCCGCCATTGGGTTGGGGGAATAGTTTATAGATATCAAGATTAAGATTACAATACGCCCCTGAGCAGTTGTCCCTTCCAAAACTTGCTAATACTTTCAAAGGAAAAAATTTTGTCTTATAGGTGATAAATTTTTCTCTAGTCACAATTATCTGAATATAATATACATTTTTGATTTAAGTTATATTTTCTGATATTATAGTCTATTATGCGACGTACAAAAATTGTGATTAAAAAGCTAATCAAAGCCCGAAAAGGCATTTATAGCACATAGCATTCAATATAAAACAAGAAATAAAACATAACACGAAACTCAAAATTCATTTACGTTTGATCTTTTCAGTGCTCGTCAATTCAACATGGTTCGTGTTCTATAAACATTTTCTCTTTGTGCAGACAATTTCGTTCGCCATTCGTCCATCTTTTTATCAATACCCTGCATAGTCAGACTCGTGCTACGTCTAAACTTGGGCCTATTTTTCAGCTCTTCTTGTCTCTGCAAAAAGAATCATGTAGTTCTATGTGACAACCAATCGATAACAAACATTTGCTCTCCAGTACTTAATCCTCAGCCTTCTGTCCTCATTCTTCTGAATTCTAATCACTGTACAGTTAGCATAGATAAAACTCTTGAGCAAAATAAAGAACTGCAACAAATACTTGAAATTTCAGTCAATTATCTAGTTTTATGTTTGAATTTGTAATTATTACTAACTGACTTCCGAAATAGTTTTCAGGACATTAAAAAGTTGTTGTTATAGAACAGCGCTCCGCCCTATTACTTGATGCTACCACACCTCCTTATCCTACGTCTGGAATTGATTGGAAACTCTCCTCACCCCAAGTGCAAGTTTGATCATGTCAGTGACTCGAACCAAAGAGGCTTGGTCTGTGTCCCAAACTACTGAGCCGGCCTCATACCCAACTATAAACAGGGATAAAAACTAGCCCTTGTTTGTGCAGCTTAACATTTTTAATCACATTTTGTGATTAAAATTTTTCACATTTTGGCAATACCATTAATAAAAGGTCATTGGCAACGCAGTGTTCAACTTCTTTTAAAGTAGGTGAGTTTGGCTGAGTTTTACGTACAGGGGTGTAGTGTTATGAAAGAATAGCAAGGGCTTTTGGGAATCAAAAAGGCCAGTCCTTCAGTCCTTGTTAACCTGACAGTGACTTTTCAGATTGAGAAATCTTTTTTAGGTAAATCTCTTTTAAAATGGCTTTGAAAAAAGCAAAAAATTTTGAGCCATACTTCAGCTTTTCGTCTGAATTTCTTTTGGAGTATAAAACGTAAGAACATAGATCAAAACACTAAGCTAGGAAATACATATACCCAGACTAAAAAAATTGCTTTTTCAAAGTCATTTTTCACTTTTGTACCACAAAATGGTTGTTTAACTCTTTTCTGTACATTTAACATTAATTTGTATATAATATCTCTTGTCAAATAATTCCTGATACAAAATTGAGATCATATGGGTAATCATCCTGCTCCAACATTAGGAATGTTGAATACCAGACCAAAAAATGTTAGCCCCACTCCCCCCTGCAAATCCATAATATGATTTGTATTCCTTGCTCTGTATTATTTCTTTTTTTATAAATATGTAACTGTTCTTAACTTTTAAACTTGTAATTTGACTTTGCTTTTAATTTTAGAGTTGAAGAGCCACACTTGTAGTGGTACGCTTGATTGTACCATGATTATTATTATTATTATTATTATTATATCATTATTATAGTTTGTACTTAAGCTATCATCACTGTCTCAGTTTCCATTTGTTAAAGCTCAGATTCTTTGTCCCAACTACCTTGAGCTAAACCAAATGAATTAAAATTTTCCTTTACATTTTAGACAAGGGAACATTCTTTATTTGCAAAGTAACAAACCTCGTCTGAGACAACACTGAGAGTTCTATTTCTTGAAACGAGCATTAAACAACCCATGTAAATGAAAAGCACAGCAATGCTGACCAGAACAAGAATTATAATGATCTAGGAAGGAATAAAAATATAACGGAAATTAAAATAATTCATGGAGATAGACCATGCATTAGGGAACTGGAATACAAATGCCTTTTATCTTTTGTCAAAAATATCATAACTCTAATGCAGCAAAAATAACTTTGTTGAGTGATGGATCGGAATGGTTCACATGCTTTAAAGAACAACCATCAGAGCAATTTTTAACAGTGCAACTACTGGGGAAAATTCCCCAGTAGGCCCAATGGGCTCCCCAGTAGTGAGAGCCAAAATCACAGAATTTCCCCAGAAGTTTTGGGCTCTGATAATTTCCACCGCCTTTTGTTGTTTTCTTAAATCAACTTTAAATGACGTTATCTGTATTTCTTGACTTTGTACTTTCTTTTTTTGCAATTGATAAATTAGATTATATTTTATTGCTTATTGATGCAGGGGTGTGGGGTATCTAGGTGTAGAGGAGTGTACCCAGAAATGCTCCCAGAAGGGCGGTAGCATCACAAAGGCCCTTAGGAAACTTTCAGTTTAGGACCCCTCAATTATAAGCTTCAGTAAAACAATATAAGGATAAAACATAAAATGGTGATCAACAGATTTTCCATTCAATAAGACTAAGATTTCAAGCAGGCTTGGGCCCCTTGAACAGGTTGATCACATCCAGAATAACAGCTTCACAGTAAAATAAATATTTCTTCTAGAGGCCCTAAAACTAAAGGTTTAGGGCCCTTAGTTTCCATTCACAAGGTAACTTTAATCTGCTACACTACTGATTCATGGTACAATTATTGGTACAAAGCACTAAACAGAATCAGCCTTAAGTATTTGGTATAATACCCAAAAGATATTTACCTTGATTAGTAAAGTGTTCCTTGCTTCATATGAGCACTGACATCTCAAACAGAACTTCTCTTCTCTCTGCACAATGTGTTCACATTTGCACTGATCAGCCTCTACCGTCTTTATATGGACATTTGTCTTGTTTGTACCAATTTCTTTTGGACAAACACATTTGCATCTCACATCATCATACTGTGCCTGAAAAATTAAAAAATTTACTGTCACCATTAACATCCCACATATACTTTCATATGTACAAAGCTTAAAAAACTGAGATATTCCGTCAAAAATCTTACAAACATTTGTCATTTTTTCATACATTTGAGCATAACATAACAACATTAAAACTGAAATAAAACAGAAAATAAAGTCTAATCAATTAGTCAAAGTCAAGTGTCAACTCAAAAGGCATTTTTAAGTCCAATAACTTATTGAAAGAGTTTTCCCATCTAATACCGAACAACTAAAAAAATGAATTTAAAAGTAACCTTTTAAGTCTTTCCTCTCAAAGTGTAAAAGTTAGTTAAAAAGGAGACAACCATGCTATATTTTCCACAATATCAGAAATGTTGTGACAAAATAGATGTTTAGCATTACAGGTTTTTTACAGGTCTTAAAAGGGATGTAAGACTTGCAGCTTTTGACAAGATCAACAAAATAATCAAGGAGAAATTGCAAAGCCATATACTTCCATTGAGGATAGAGCAATGACAGTGAAGTGCTGTCAGAACTCAGGAGAAAAGTTGGTTTTATTCTTTAAAGATCAACCCCTCTCATAACAAAGCCTCATAAGCAAATTTTGGAGCAAAATCTATTATCATTTTTACATCTGTCACAACCTCATTGCCTCTGCAATATCTTTACATAAGTACAGAAGTATATTCTTGCCTCTGCATTATTTTTCATGGCATAACTCTGTAGCAATAGCCACTTTGCTCACCATTTATAAAATGAGGAACCAGCAGAACAACCTTATAACAAATGGAACAGCCCTGTGACAGGTGGAGCAACCCATTAACAAGCAGAAATTGGAATTGATTGCCTAATTCCAGTTAATTCGACAGGGAGGCCTGACAAAGTTCATCCAACATTCCAAAGTTTGTGTGTGTGAAATAGAGCTTAAATATTGCCAACCTTACCATTGAAATTGTTATCAATTTGTATACAAGGATCTTTCATCTATTGCATAATTCCAAATATATTAAAAAAAAGCCACTTTTAGCAAAATGCCATCTCCAGCCCTGGCCATTTTGAATTCAACGACATTAGCATAAAGCATGCAGATGAGACACCGCATTTGGACAGGAAAGTGGGTTTAACCTGGACCACTTTAACCCAAACTAGATTTTCTAGTGTAAATAGGGCTTATGAGTAGGTGACAAAACAGGGCATGACCCAAACCAAAGACACTGTATACCCCTGTCCCAACAACCAAATTACCTAATCATGATTTAATTTTAGGCCCAATGCGGTGTTACTCACAAACAAATAACTTGTGCTGATGCTCCCCTGCAATATTGAACAAACATGTTTGATTGCATTTTTAGTGAGTATGAAACAATTAATTATCAGTAAAATATAGACAGTTGTGGTACTTAAGCAAGCCAAAACTATTAATCTTTCCATATTTCAATTGACTATTTGAATAGAAGTCTCAGCTTCTACAAAACTTTTGTCAAAAAGTTCAGCTTCTATTTAAGGGTGGTTTCTATTTAAGGCCAGGATGTGCATGTAAACCTCACTACAAAGGTACGCCAATAAAAGGCTAGGTGTATGTCAATGTCCATGTGGAATCATTATGATGACTCCCACCCTCCAATACTTCTTAGGCAATTTATTAATACATTGGCAATGATGCAGTAGTGTACATAATCAAACAAACACAGAAAGAGCTTTTTGTGCATCCATATGCAATATTATCAAAATTAAAGTCTACACCATACCAGGCACCGCAGAGCATTGAGAAAAGTGGGTGGTCTAAAAAAGGAGAGGAGGGGTAAAATGGTATAAAAAGAGGCTTTGCTGGTAGTTTATTACTTAATATTTGGCACTCTTTGCAAAAAGTGGGGGGCCAAAGCCCCCCTCTCCTGCTCTGCAGTGCCTGTATTCGCCAACAGATGCTTATCCCATGCCAATGTCATGCCAAGAAACATTAACTCTACTCCAAAGATCTTTAGGATTTGGTAGCGACATGGAATGCATCCTGGATTTAAGGGCAGTATATGTTTCCTATTGAAACCTTTTTTGCATTAGATTTGAGTTTGTTATGATTATGATCATTGTTAGAGACGGATTAGAATAAATAAATAATGTTACAAGATAATATAATAGACATTTCCGCAAAATGAAACTAATCCTTGTTTTTGTGAGAGTCCAGCATCACAATCGAATAGAATATAATAAGTGCGGCTTCGAGAGCAGTTCTATCTTTAAAAAAATTGAGCAGAACTGCAGCTTCGCTATAAAGGCAGGTTTTATTTGATGGTGGCTTCTATTCGAAGAAATTACGGTAATGATGCTTGTTGTAAGGTAGGCCATTCCTCAAGACTACCATACATAGGCATAAATGGATAGTGGTATTCTGTTCAGTTCAGTTCAGTTTTATTTGAGATTCCACTGGATACACACACTTTTTGCAAATTAGAAATAATCCAAGCATAAGTATAAACAATTTTAAAGGAAGTTAATTACTATAAACGTAACATATAACAAATACAGAGTAGGTATGACAATTCTAAGAGGTGAATTATTTATTTATCACATATATATTTACGTACCTCGGCAAAAAATGTAAAACCGCTAAGGGCAAGGGCAAACAAGAATATTCTTTCTGTTGCCAAACCCATCACGAAATGCTTAAATCATCTTTCGCCATGCAAGTTTACTTCTGTATGGACGACATTTTCGAACCAAATATCTGTTTCGAATAGAGGCTACTCCAGTATGGTTTGAAATTGAGGCTACTCCAATGTGGCTGTTTCCAAAATGTCGTACAGTAGAGGCGTAGTTAGATTTCCAAGGCTTCAAGCAAGAATATTTCTACCCAACTGGTTTGTGAAGGTAGTAAGGCCAGGGAAGGAAATCCCTGAAAATCAAGTACAAATGCATGTGTCAATGGAGTGAGTATATGAGCCTTTAAAAGTGGCTTACACATCAGGTTTAAACCTTCTCCAGTGTCCATCCAGTCGCTCTAAAAACTTTTCTGCAGCTAGTTTTCCAGAAAAATGGCCCCAAAAGCCTATCTTCGGATGGAATTCCTTTGAATTTGACTGCATTTTAGTAAATATTATTTAAATATTTTCTCAAAGTGCATACCTGCACTTGCGCAGTTGACCGTTCAGCTCAAGTTTCATTTAGTTGCCATTTATGCTATGCATAATAAAAGATGAGGCCACACACCACCATGTCTTGGGTTAGTGCATAAAATACCTCAAACTTATCAAGATACCTTTAAAGAAGAAGGGTTCGGGTTTAAAAAAGTGCATTCTTTGGATTAGCTCCTTTGAAAGAAATATGTACCACTTTCTTTCAACTTATTGTTTCTTTTGCGTCCAAACCCAATTTCAATATTTGTAAGACCACTGCTTTGATTTTTAAGGAACTGATGTTCTCTTTTTTTCAGCATGAATAGAGTTGATATAAAGAATTACATAGAAAAAATATACAATGTCAATGTCCACAGAGTCAACACAAGAATACAACTAGGTGTGTTGAAACATTACTTGATGCTCTCCTGTTTAATTTCTAATTTGTTATACGATGCTGCTATTTGTTGATATTTTCTTTCATCATTGTATATGTGTGTTTAATCTTTATAGATAAAATTGATATGCAAGAAAAAGGTTTTTAATATTATATGGAACATATACTACATTAAATTAAAACAGCATACTACAAACAACACTTAAACGTGATAATTGACACTGGAATGAAATAATAAAGGTGGCTGAATAATTACACTTTGACCTTATAATTATTGTTAATGAAATAAAATCTGTTTTGCAAATGTTAATGTTGCAGCAACCTGGCCATTTAATCTTTGGAAAATGTCTAAGACTGTTGGTTGAAATGCAATAACTTGATTTTTTGCTAGATTAAAAACATATAGATTTTATGTTTAGGAAAAAGACAGACAATAATGAAACTGGATGGTTCTTTAACAAAGAAGAAATACCCTGATTTCAAAGTTGCATATGTGACTTTGGTGAGCATGATGAAATTTTTTCTGTAATTGATAACAAATCCATCAATATTTATTGCAAAGAATTTATTTCATTGAGGTTAGGCAAGGTTTTTGAATTTGTTTGATTTCTAAAACTCAAAATAGTTTATTAATCTTATCATAAGAAACAGTTTATGAAAGTTTATGAAAGTTTACGAAACTGGCTAAATAAAAGTTTGTTTGTACACTTTTTATCTTTTTTACCATTCAATGCAAAATGCACACCTAATATTGAAAGATAGCTCATTGATATTTGTTAAAGCATTTATTATCACTTTTCTGCAGGCAGAGGAAACATTTAAATACCCTGAATTATTTGAAAAATCAGAAGAAACAGAAGATGAAATGGTTACCGCTCCAGATGAAAAGCCCCCTGAAAGAGAAATACCAGAAACTTTAAAGAAGTGGTTTCAAGTGTAGAAATGGCAGTGACACTTAGTTGTTTGTTTGGAACTGGCGTTGCCAAGATGTGGGGCTTAACTGGGAGAGATAAGACTAATAAGCAAATGACAGACTGCAGCCAGAGCCTCAAGTGACTCTGTCTTTGAATCCTAGTTAGATTTTATGCTTTAGGCAAATCTTGCAATACTGTATATTTCCTATTCAATCATTGATTTTCGTATGACATCTTAGAAGTCTCTTGTTCACATGTTTTACCTTGTGCACTATTCAGTGGGGTTACAGAGGTATCTGGGACCCTAAGGAAGAAACAGACACATGGCCTCTATTTATGGATAGCAAGAGCACCTCCATATAATGGTGTAGAATGAGTCAAACACAATAGCAAGATATAAAAATGGTAATTTTTCTTGTTAGCTGGGTAAAGGGGAGCTGACTTATACAATCTTCAATAAATGAACTTTTAAACTTTTCAAAAATTTGGTGAACTTGAGCCAAATGTCTAGAACCCTGTCCAGATGTTTTTATTTAATTCAAAATTACAGACCCCGATCCAAATTTACTGATGAATTTGCAATAGAAAATTTAAATCAAATGAGTGATAACTTGCTGTTTTACATAATATTTGGACAGTCTTGCAAAGGTGTTCTCTCTTTTTAGTGTTAAAGTATTTGGCATTCTTGCCTCCTATGTGCGAGGTTGCAGGTTTTTTCCAACAGCTTGTTTATTTCTACCCCTCTCCCTCTTTGACATAGAAGAACAAAGTGTCTCAATCTTGTGTTATCTTACAAGCCTTACATACAAAGAGAGTATAAGAAGATTATCTATTTAGAGGGGGCACAAGCCTCTCTTAAAACAATTAGTTGTCTCCTTGAAAACTAACTTCCCAACCTGCTGTCAAACACCAAACCCCATCCACAATAGACTGCATATTATGATCTATCAGATTACTCTTATTACGAAATAACGGCATGCATCTCCAACAATAATATTGATATAAACTTGAACTTCATGTCCAGAATGGGATGCTTGTCATTTTTGGAGAGCTAGCAATGGGGTGCCTATGACAATTGGAGAAATTGAATTCTAACAATTTTATAGAGCAGTTAAGACAAATGCCTAATGCCTTGCCTGGTTTTACGCAAATTGGACACCTTCCCATCCACACCTCTATTAAATTGGTCAGATGCTCTAAGCAAAAACAGCTGAATAGCATAGATAACAACATTGAACTGGAGGAAATAGTAGGGATATGACTTAAGATTAGGGAAAACTTCTAGGCATTGTAGTAGGACTCTTTCATGCTTTGAAGTTCTAGACTGAGACCGTTTGATTACCTACAACAGAAATTAGATTAAGTGGTTATAAAAAGGTACTTTTGGTGTACAGCTCTTTGATATTCAGAAAAGGAGAGAAGATATTTAGTTAATTTATTTGCGTAGCCCATAGAATATTGGACTGGCCATCCAGTATATCACATATTGAATGTCCCCTACCCCAGGCTTAAATGTCGTCTTACAGAATTGGAAAATAATCGGGGTGGAAAAAGCAAAATCTCCCAACGATACTAGAACTGAAGAAAAGGACAGAGACATGAATCTGAAAATCATCATACTTCAAAAACAGCGTAAAGTATCACTGAATTTTTAACAATATCTAAAGATTGTAACAGCAGCATTTAAGATATATCGAAAGCGACCAAGAAGTGAATACTCAATTTACAATGCAGGTGAAGAGCTTTCATACAAAAGATGATTAATGACTTGCCCAGGATTACTAGTCGATTTTGCAGTTAATTACTGACATCGTCATGGAACGTCTAATCACGGTTGGATTCATGAAACTTTCGTGACGGATTTTCCGGATTATCAGGGGATCTCTTTACGGATTTAGGTCAATCGAAAATGGTTGCGTGATGGGGTTAATGGTGTAGACTTATGAGCCCCAAACACTGGTGGTGCGAAAAAACCGAAGATGGTCGAGGTTCACTATGACACCATAATAAAACAGGCAATCTTATTTTTCTGTCTAAACTTGTCCTAAATGAAAGAGATTGAAATAAGAACTCAAAATATTTCGTTCACAGGTCACTGTTTGTTATATGATAAGGACAGCAGAAATTTTCACACTACTGATCACAGCAATCTCGAAACCTGCCGGCAAGTTTCTCGCAGTTGAATCATACAAAAACTGGCCAGATGACAAATGATTCGAAATGATTCGAAACCTGCGGTAAACATGAATGCTACCATATCCGACAGTAACATATATTCTGCAAACGAATTAATGAAATCAATTTTGCTCCAAATCCGTCAGCATAGCATAGAAGTATTGCGCTATCCTAAACCAGTGAACTGGCATTTTCACTTGCATTTGTCATTGCTAACTAGATCTGTACCCTAAGAAAACAAAAACAAAGACTTTGAAAACGGGGCAACGCTTTCTAATATAGGCTACCTCTGCAGTGGAGGTAATGCAAATAGGAAAACTGGACACTACTGACCTTTCTACAGCTTTTCCCTGGACAAGTAAAATTAATTTTTTCACAAACAAACTAAACTTTATATTATGCGCTTTAACGACGGTTAATTAAACAAAAACTAGCTAACCTTTAATAGTACAATTTACTAAATCTCGCAAGATTTTCAACTTAATGGTTAAGTGTGTAAATAAGATACTTAAACCACGGCCATAAATCTAAAAGGATCACAGGAGGAGTTTACATTCTTATACATTTGCTTCTGGCAGAATAAAAAATCGATTCCTACTAACAAAATTACGTCATCGGTTGAAAAATGAGGAATAAACTGTATATAAAAGTATAAGATAACAACATGTCTCGTGGATACGGTAAGACCTAAATTATTTGCCGCTGCTACAAATATAACACATAGGTCGGGTGGGTGGATTGTTTACACATAAAATGGCTTCATTCTCGATGCATATCTCGATACGAGTTTGGGTGCACAGGCAGAGCAGTGCACTTAAGAAACCTCGTTGGCGCAGTTAAAGGAACGCGAAATTCCCACTCCGTTCTAATATCTCTTCATCTTCTTAATACCAAACCAGCTCAAAACGAAAATGATCGAACCAGAAAATGTGAGTCAACTCAATAAACATAATCCGACAATCAACGAGTTCTTATTTCTGTCACTTACTGGCAATTTTTAATGGCAATTTTTAAGAGGTACATCATTTCCCAAAAATATGGGATATGATAAAATTGTCTTGCAAATTCGAACTTAGAATGCGTTGTGGGTTTTGTATAATTAGACTGTAATACCACGCAGGACAAAACTTCTCAATTTTACTGGGATAGGAATTTGGTTATAACCAAAAACCTTAACTATCTTCTCGCTGGAATAAACGCATACATAACTTGTACTGTAAATGCTACGAATAATGATCAGCTTGTTTTCAGTACAAACGAAATTATTTTCAAACCTCCTGTAATTCACGGGGAAAAGGCGCTTAAAGTAGTATAATTTTCATGACAACTTTGATTCGATGCTAGTTCAAGTATAAAATGATTAAAATCTAATAGGATATTTCGCAAATAAGGTTACATAATTACACATTTCTTCTTCTTTTTCGACTTGATTGGTGTGTCTGGAATTTCGTTATACCTTCTGAGGAAAAAAGGGTGGAGGAAATTTAAGTTGAGTGAACTAGAGGCAGGAACGAATCTCTAAAGAATACTATATTTGTGAATTTCTCTGTTCAAAAGAGGAACAAGAAAACGGTTGCCTTCTTACAACCTCCAGAAAGGGAGGCAATGAAGGTCTTAGTGAAACTTTCAGAAGCCACGCTAAAAAGTTTTCTCAGCAAAACAATAGCTCTTTGAAACTAAAAACCCATGAAAATTACTGTTTGCCAGTTTGTCATCAATAGATACTGCATATTTAGTTACCTTTTCAACGTGTTAAACGTGAAACTCGAGTAGCAATTTAAAACCGGCTTGTTCTATACACCAAATAGCGAAACTTAAAGACTTGTGTGTTTCCAAGAGATGGTTAAGGCAGGGCGAGGGTCAGTGCCCACAAGTTACTTAAACCTAGAATCTTGCCGGTTTTATGGCGAAAACCTGTAGTATTCACTACACTGAAAAATCGATGTTGTCCATCTCAAAACTTTCATGGTAACCCCTTGACGAAATATAGCTTTAATGAAAAATGGAAGTAATAAAAGCATTTTCTAGGAAAAAAAGAAATCTCTCATTGCAACCACGTAGCTGTAGATGTTAGCTAGGGTGGGCAAACTCGAGCAAGAACCATACCTAAGGGGAGGACTTTTAAACAAGAAAACAGATATAGAACAAACAGTATATTTGGACAAAATCAAGCTCACTGAGTTATAAATATGCCAAATTTTCAAAACATCATTTGGAAAAACTGTAGCCAAGGGGGCAAGTTGTTGTCAAAATTCTCATTTAAGGGGGCACAGCCCCCCTCCCTGTGCCCTTCTCCCCCTACAGCATGAGACCATATCTGTGTGCATGGATATTGCCCGGTTTTGTCATATTCTGGGGAGGAATAAAGGTGCTCTACCGGCTGTATTCAGTTTGCTCAATTCAAGAGTAGTCAAATAACATACCTAATTGCTCGCACAAGGTCGTGGAATGCGGTATCTACATTGATTCGCTGCTTTGCACTGGCTTCTAAATATGGTATCTTTAGTTGCTGTGCAAGATCCTTGAGTTCTGACGGTGCGACCTATAAGAGATGTAAACAATGCGAGTTATGACTTGAGTACTTTTGTGCTTATTTGAGATAAAGAATTATGGAAAATTTGAGATTGATAGCAAACCTTCACACTTTACGAAGCTTGGATAAGAGACAAGGCCCTAGGCAGCATATATGGGCTGGACTCAATATGTGCCGGATTAGAGATGTGCCGGACTACTATGCGTCTGTGTATGGCGGAATGGAGCGAAGGGCATATGCTTCTCAGGAATGCATGCCAAAGCACAAACCCAGAAGACACTGATAATCAACGAAGTTGTGCCTGTTGTATGTCGAAATGAACAAAATTTGATGCAATAAAATAACGACTTTGTACAAGAAATGAAAATTTGGTACAATGTTTCAAGCTTAACCCTTCATCAGGCACCAGCAAGACACTGGCTTGCAATAATAAGGTGAAATTAGAGAATCTGGTCGCAAAATTCCGGAAGAAAAATTCTAAATTCTTAGAAATTGGGGAGAAAATTCTTAGAGATACAGTTGACAACACAGACGACGAGACTCTTATGGAAAAGGGCTCTCACAGGTTCAGTAGTCGAATGAATACAACGCCATCAGATTTTATAACACATTAGCTCTCGTGATTCGTTAAAAATTCATTTTTTATCGAAGAAAAGAGAGAAACTAAAAAAGTTCATTTTATATGATCCAGAAGAACCAAAATCGGCTTTTGTACTTCGAGTATGAGAAAAGAAGATCAGGTAGTCAGATTTCCCACAACCAATAAATCCACGAGCTGTGGGTCCACACCCTGCTTAATCTCCATGTTTCAATAAGGATACATGGAGAAAGAGGTTTCCCACTTTTGTCAATGCAACGTGAGTAAACAGAGACACGCCCCTCGTGTGACGTTGCATTGCTGGTTGACAATTTCGTCATTAGAACACGCGGCAAATAATACCGCAAAACCAAAGTTTGAAATTTGATATCAATTTCTTCAGCTAAGTAGACAAATCAATAAACTGAAATGCTTCCCAAAAGAGCTTTCTATTCTGAACTAGCTTAAACCGCATGCCTTTTTAAATACCATATGGCATGTTCGTAGATTATATTATCTGATAAATCATGCGAATTTGCCGTTCTCTGATTGGCTATGTTCATAGATGCAATGGGCAAAATGACGTCATTAGGAATACGGATTTCGCTGCAAAAAGTAACATCCAAGAGACAACTCCAAAAGAGGCTGGCCTGCTTCTAGTGCAACTGTGAGGCATCTTTATCAATTGGTATTTGTTTTCAACAACTTCGGTGCTTCAATAAAGATGCAGTAAACAAGATGTTTATAAGACGGATACAAAACAGAAATAAAATCGAACAGTTATATTTGATTAACTGATATCCATAAGTGCTACTGTGAGGTCAGAACCAAGATAAGATCGGCCTATTATGCACAACTATACAAAAACTACTATGTTCTATTTAACGACCATGGCTTTGGATCTTTGCTTAATAGTAACAATCAAATGAGACGTTTCAAAAAATTGAAAAACAAATGCATTTGCCTTGTATAGAACGAAATAGCATGTCAAGCAGATTGCCCTTAATCTCACCCTACGTCACAGTGTTGACCATAAAAGAGCAAGCAAATTATCTTGTGTGAAGCCATAATCCAAATCCAACTAAAAATCATCTTTAAAGCATTTCACATATTTATATATTGCCCATGGAGGAAGTTCGGGCCTTCTGCTCTCCATAGTATCGCCCTTGTCATGTTACTAGAGTAGTTCGTAGTTTTTGTATTGAGTAAGTCGTTCATGCAAACTTTAATATTGAGTTTAAAAACACAATAACCCATTGGTAGAGGCCTCCTCCTTCCTGAAGGAGAAGGGGAGCAATCCCTTTGTTAAGAAGAGGGACATGTTTCAGACATGATCCTGTACAGTTGTCAAGAGCAAAACAAGTTTTCCTGTACTTGCAAAATTGTTTCTTGTAGGAAAGAAATCTGGCAGAAAAGACTTCTAAACCAATTATCTTTGATTTATTTTCCTTTATTTTACGGGTGTTTAGTAACACCAAAATCAGTTTCAAGTAGTAACTAGATACACGTGAGGTTTCGTTACAATAGCGTCAGAATAGCGTAATTTATGTTTTTCATTGTCACACCAATAATTAGCCCTAGTTGACCTTTCTGTCGTTGACCTGATGAACTTTCGAGTATTTAACGTGCACGAAAGGATAAAAAGAGCTTTGCAGCTTCCCAATGTGAATACACGATTAAGCAAGCCTGGGCAAGCAATAAAATAGGAATATGCAAAAAAATAATAACAGGCAAGGAAATTCCTCGTGTTATGGAGCAGGAAAAACCATCAGATTCAAAACCAATGGAAATGCCCTAAAGTTAATGTCTATAAAAAGTCAAAGCTGTGGACCTACAGGCAGATTATGGTTGCTTGACGGACGTCACAAAAGAACAGAGAGATTACCAGGAAATACTTCTAGATCTATGCATTGACACGTCAGCCAGACAAACGAAATGTTCTATTTGATTGACGAATACGGTTGCCTGTTTGCAGTCAAAGCAAATAGCACACCTCCTTTAGTTTTCATCTTTCTCGTTTTGTCAAAGTCATCAACCTTTTTTTAACTGAATAAATTCTAGAGACAGCAAAAAGCCTCAAATATGACACAACACAACCCATATTTATATGATAACTGTCTCCTTTTTGCAATTTTGAGCCTATTCACGCTAGTCCATTGTATCCCATATCGATAGTAACACTCGTCAGTGTATGATAACATAATTTACTGCGGAGCAATTCTCGTTATCAAAGCATTCCAGAACGTGTAGGTAATTCTACAACTCCCAGGTCCACCTGTCTCGCATGCAGTATCAAGACAGGGGGTGGGATCAGGGATCTCTCTACAGGTTAGCAGAGTGACAGAGGATCAGAGGCATTCCATGGGAAATTCTTGGACTCTTAAGAATGCTGTAAAACAGTCCTTTCTGAAAAATATTCTAAAATAAGCTATATATATATTATAAGCTTTGCAATTTGTATAAACTTATTGTTGACTTGAGGCTTTCACAGACACTAATTTTTTTGCTTTTGGGGGCAGCCACCCACCCTTGATTACACTTTGCTACGCAAGGGCCTGATAAAAACCTGCTAAGTGTTCTGCATTTGAACACTCTTACCCAACTGTAATAAGGTTTGAAAGCTGTCAGTTGTGCAGAGTAAGAGGTTAGTGTGGCAAGGGGTATGTGGTTACTTCATCCAACATTGAGAAACTGTCTGCCCCTTCCGTGATTGGCTAATTCTAACTTGAAAGCCTATCTTAAAAGACGGTCTTCCTCTGCCATTTTAGTATCTGACATTACTTATTGTGGGTGAACAGGACGAAAAATGCCTAATCTTTACACAATCGAAACTTACTTAAATGTTTAACACCAAAACAAAACTCACAGCAGCTTGCTCAGGGAAAGTACGTTATTGTGGTTCTTCATTTTGATTTGCTATTTCTGCATTAAACTGAGGATGTATGAATACTTCGGACATGAAAAAAGATTCTGCATATTAGAACACAATGACTCTAGCTGCTGATTACCTGGATTCTATAATGCTTTCAAATATTGGCAATTAATTAAATTAAGATCCTGAGAAAAGCGATGTAAAAAGAAATAGATCATACATAAATGGTGATTGTGGCTGGAGATTAAACTTTCGAGATAATGGAGGGTCCAGGGCTATGTAATGGAAGTCAAAAAACAGATTACTTACTGTTCGTTCATGGTCTAAATCAGATTTGTTTCCAACAAGTATCATTGGGAATTCATCTCTGAAATTGCAAATAAAATGGTTATACTAACCAAGACTTATCAAGGCAAGGAAAATCTCGAGAAGTTCTTTGCAATGGCAATTCAACAATTTGAAAGAACTGAGGATTAATTTGATTTGAACAGGCAGCATGTGACTTAATAATAGGTTATATATATATATATATAAATTATATATATATATATATATATATATATATATATATATATATATATATATATACATATATATATATATTGGGCCGTTTGGCTCAGTGGAATGAGCGGGGGTTTTCGACGCAGCAAACTGGAGTTCGATTCCGACCAAGAGTAGTTTGATACAATTGGGCAGCACCCTTGTGGAAAGAATTTTCCTCCTGTCAGCATTTGCCTTTATGATATATATTATATATATATATATATATTATATATATATATATATATAGTATATAATATATATTTTTTAATATTATACATAAACTTAATGATATATATCAAACAAAAGTAAGACATAGGTACTAGTAAAAAATATATGCGACGACTGCTGACTAGTTTCGGCTGTAGGTCGTAATCATGATATATACACTTAATATAAATTAATAGATACAAATTTAAAAGATATATTGACAAAATTATTTATTTAGCAACAAAAGCAATTAAAGCCTGGACAATGTTAGCAAAGAAACGTTTAGCAAAAATGTTTCTTCAACATCACAAAACCAAAGTCAGAAATATTACTACATGAAAATATATAAACTGGATTTTTCAAAATGAATATATTAAAAAATGAGCAATATATATATATATATATATATATTTATATAAATTTAATACTTACTTGTCTTTTACTCTTAATATTTGTCTGTGGAATTTTGGTATCTCATCAAAACTAAGGAGGAATTCAGAACAGTTAATACAATGATGAAAATACAACAATATCAAAACTAAATCTTGTATGGTATAGAACTTACATTTTGTAAAGTTCACAGCAAAGCAAATTGCAATTAAACTACACCACAGCCTGGAAAAATACTGACCCATAATAACAAAAACACTTTACTTTTTCTACTATTGTTTAAACTTTGTGTAGTTTTTCTTTTGATATGGTTTTCCATATAAAGCTTACAAAATTTGCTTAATGAATGTATATATATATATATATATAACATAGCAAGAGTTTTGCAGTGGCATCGATGGATGGATTTTCTGACCAATTTCCTTTCAGATCACTCTCCATGAATCCTACAACTTTTAGTAGCCCAACCAATAAAATTGCATTGCCTAAATGTAACTTAGAAAACAGATAATAAAACCAAAACCTTTTTAGTAAAACAAATGAAAATTCCTGCAATCCATGTGCTTCTGGATGAGCTCTGTACACTGTACAAGAACATTTCAAATTTTTTATCTTACCATCCACCTTTCATTCTCCAATATTTCAATTTATATTTGTATGCACTTTATATATGCTCAAATCACTAAGCCTTTTTTTGACGCTCTGTTTTGCTTTTTTCTTTTATATTTCCTCTGTTCATCTCAAAATTACTTCTGTTTCCCTCTTCTTCCCTTTATCACTATCAAAAATTTTCTTTTAGTTGCAATATTTTCCACCCTTTCAATTTCAATATTTTCCACCCTTCCAATTTCACACCTTTTTCCATTGAAAATAAGCTGTTAACAAATATGTAAACTGTATCTAAGACACACAATAATTCAAGTGATAAAATGATGTTATAAACAAACCTTGATCTATCAGTAACAGAGAAAACAAGCAAGAAACCCTCTCCAGTTCTCATGTACTGCTCTCTCATAGCACTGAATTCCTGTTAGAAGAAACATTTTATAGCAATTAAGATATTGCCTTGTAGCACTGGCATCAGATAGTGAATGTAAATATTGAATGTTTTAAGGATGTACACAGTACATGAGATTTTCTGTTTGCTACTGACCACAGATCAACTCAAATATATACATTTTTAGACATTTGGTATATATAGGAGAGTGGCTGTATGTGTATAGAACAGGACTGCTCTAAGTAGTTACTTTGTGTTTCAATTGTGTGTAAAGTTGCCTGGTGATCACAACAAGTATGAAATTCAGAGTAGCAGCTTAGAATTGTCCTGTTCCAAACACTGCAAACGCTTTGCCTATATGGCATCAAGCAATTTATAACAGACTGGTAAACGGTAAATTTCATTATCTTTGGAGAGAAATATATATAAATATATTGAATCTTTTCTTGGCATGCACTCACAGTTCACATCTGAAAACACCTCCAAAGTTCAACTTTATTAACACTTAAATTAACACAAGCTTGATATGTTTTTTAACATCGCCTGATGCACTTTTGACAAAAAATTGCTTTGAAACAAAATTATAACTTTGCAGGAGCTATAAATTTTAACCAGATTGAAGTTTAAAGAATTTTCCAATTGAGACAGAAAGTTACTTTCAAATCACTACAAAGTAAAAAAATAAGGCAGCCATACCTCTTGCCCTGCAGTATCCAAAACTGAAAAAGACGAAAATTCATTCATAAATATATTCATAGGGTTTTGTCATGCAACAACTTATTAGGTATATATAATATATATATTTAAATATATTGATTAAGTATATATTCAAAATCTTAACAAGAACAGTCAGCTCTCAGGATGAGCTTTGACAATTATTTGTTAATAAACATAAAAATGTGCAACTATTTAATGCAACAGATCTTAGCCCTTATCAATAGTTTGAATTTGACAAGAAAATCTACAGCCAAAATCATAAAAAATTAAAAAAACTGTTCAGGTTAAAATCATTGAGCCCGGACTGTTTTATTGCAAAACCCTTCCTAAAAATACGGAGAGCTATAGCTCTTGTTCCCCCCCCCCCCAGGTTCCTGTTATATGATGGAGAGGTTGCTATTCTTAACTGTTCAAAAAGCAAATTACTCAAGCCTTGAAATCCATTTTCCTTTTCTATTCACATTTATCTATGGATAGTTAACCCGGAAATTACTGCTCTGTTTACTGCTCACCTGCTAAAAGACTTATGGACAACCATGAATAAGGTAAATTTTAAATATATATCTAACTAATAGATGGTGCGGGAGAATAACCGGCCCGAGCGACGCTCGAACTCACGATCCCTGACTTTGTACATCAAGTGCTCTGCCACTGAGCTATCGGGTTGTGCTTTCAAACCATCACCCAAGGCCAAGTCATTTACCCACACTGCCCCTCTCTTTTACCGATATACCTATTACCAGTAAATATATATCTGGAAATTTTTGGATTTATTTTACTTTGGAAGGATAGACCAATTAGTCAAAATATATACACCAGACCTTTCCTTATATTGTGAAAAACAGAAGGTGGTAAGCCTTAATTTCAGAAAAAGATTGTCATCAATGTGCACACCTGCCATTCCACGCTCCTCTTTAGGTTAGAATTTCATTAATCCCCCCAGAAAAAAATTGGGTTATACTATATAAAAACATGTTTTCCTAATGGCATAACATGTAAACACACCTTCTAATATAAAATTACAATCACTTTTTTCTATTGCAATTCAAAAATTGGTGTGCAATGTTTGGGTGTTCTTATGTCTGCATCTGCCACACTGTGCATATTTGATGCAATTAAAATTCACACCTGAAGTAAAATTTTTGATTGCATAACTCAGATTTAGAAATGTAAAACTCTCCTTCTAAATATAGAACTTTACAGAATAAAGGCTGGAAATTACCATTCTTGCGCTTTGGGGCAGTTTGTAAACATAATATTTATTTGATTCTTAAGTATAAATTTTAAAATTTATTTCATTTGTATTGGACATGATTTGAAAACATCAAGATTAAATTTGTGCTTAGGAACATATTTTTCAACAATCAAGTTCAATATAAAATTTAGATTTATAAAAAAATCTAACTTTAATTCAAATATATATATCTAGAGTCAATGTTAAAATTGTAACATCTCCTTAAATAAAATCTTATAAAATGTCTTGAAAATTCACCTTTTGTGTCAAAATAAGGTCCAGATGACATGATTTTTAGATTTTGGAAGGCACCATAGCAAAATTCCTCATTCTTATAAACCCTCGATTTCGGAATATCATTTTCTACTTAGGCCTAAAAGCCACTTTGAAACTTTAATATTAACTGATCCTTCTACCCTAAATCTTGTTCACTGAAACCAAAAATGACATTTCACTAAGACTTACCAGTAAATTCAATAAAGCTTTTAATAAACAAAGAGATTAAGAAACACATTGGAATGACAAAATTGGCCTACACGTGATACGCCCAATTATATGTCGGGCGAAGGATAAAGGAAGATTTTTCCAAAAAGAGTGGACGTGCCTGCCTTTACAACCTGCCAGCATATTTTTGTTGCTGATGCTATAAAGCCTGAGAAATTTAGAAGCATAATAGAGCTGTAGGCAAAACTAATTGGAGGCTCCGCCCAACACAAGGAACTGAGCACCGCCCAAGAGAAATTAAAATCATTCAATACTCACTATCCAGGTGTGCAACTCTGTCATCAATAACGCACTGCTTTCTATACGAATCTTCGATAGTTGGATCATAATCTTGCACGAAATGTGACTGAATAAACTGGATTGTCAATGCACTCTTTCCAACGCCTCCACCACCAACAACTACCAACTTATATTGTCGATCGTGATCTCCAGCCATTTCTCAAACTCAGGATAGGCCCACGACTGCCGGGTGCCACTCCTTTTTTAAAATAAACACAACGGCTCCTTGTAATCCAAAAGCTTCGTTCCACGCATAAAAAGATTATAAAATTTCCTATATAGATATTTTAACACTGATTTGCTAATGCCAAAAAATCCTGTCCCATTCGACTGCTTGAGATATCTACAGTAACTTTCAGCACCGTTGACAAGGCCGCGCCCGCAAAACGAATTCCACTGGGTTCCAGTCTCCTGTCTCCATCAATTTATAAGCCGCGGTATTTGATACTAAAAATAGCTTCAATTGGAGGACAGGTGAACCACCTGGGGAAAACTCAACAATTTGCCCCTATTAAATTGTTATGGTCTAATTATACACTTTTAAGTGCATGCAAGCTATTTTTGAAAAACAGAATCGTGCGGAGGCCGGTTGTTCACAAATGCATAGCGACATCAAAACATTTTCAAAACAAAAGACAGCTATAAACAATTTTCTCTTTTGTCGTCAACAAGTTTCCGCTATTTTGGTTACTATTCTGAATATATGACTGAAAACCTGCAAAAAGAACTCATTTATTAAAGTTTTTAAATGAAGCTCTTTGCTAGTGTCATCTAACCAGGGCTGATGGCCTCTTGTTTTTATCTTTTTACGGACTTCTCGGAGGGCAAAATTTTCACGTAGGGATATCATTAGAATGTGTAAGAAGGAAGAAAAACAGGATAGGCTGCAGTGGCGTGGTAGCAGGGGGGCATGTCTCCCCTATATATGGGCGCAATTGGAGTTAGGGGGCGCCAAAATTGTTTGCTTGTAATCATTGGCTAGGAAAATCAAAATTGATCGTACACGGGTAGAACACTTCGCAATAACTTGCTGTGAACAATCTAAGGCAGCCTTTCCACTAGCCTGGGTTAAAACATATCCAGGTTAAAAGTACAGCAACGTTTAAAAATTGAGATGGCGCCAAAAATAAAAAAAAACCCTGGATGTCAATGTTGCTTCCATTGGCCTACACGATAGAAATTGAAGGATTATTGATGCAAATACTGATTTCTTTTACAACTTTTCACCCTGGATACATTTTAACCCCGCTTAGTGGGAACGATCAAAAACGGATTAAAAACGGGTCGAAGAAAAATGCCGTTTCCATTGACTCACTTTAAAAACGGATAACTTTTAACCCGGGCTAGTGGAAAGGCTGCCTAATAAAGCGTGCGATTCTACAATCGAAGCACGTTGCGTTGCCCTAACCCAATCAACATTTGTGGTCAACAGACGATGAGTAGATTTCTTAGCTGCAGCTTCGAAGCCTGCTCTGAACATTGAAAGGAACAAGAAAACGAAAAATTAGCCTGCGTCACAGACCACCACCACCACTCTCCTCCTTGGTGGTACATATATATGGGGGCCCGTTTAGTTCAAAAATACATTGAATAAATAAAATGAAAGTTAAATACATTCATGCATCTTGAATTGAACTCGCTGTACTTCAATTGCTATTAAATGATACAAAATTATAATTAAAGTTTTTCAATAAATTGTCGTAGGTGCTAAGAATTAACTATTTGATACGGATACAATTAATTATCGTGTAAGCTAAGAATTAATTATTAGACATAAAAATAATTAATCATTGTGCAAGCTAAGAATTAATTATTTGACTAACGCAGAAAAAGCATGACAAACAGTGAAAACGACGAAAGATATCGGGCGGTAGAGGTTCGATTCGATTCGGCAGAGGTTCGGCAGAGGTTCGGCAGAGGTTCGGCACAGGAAGCGGTTCAAAGCATCACACCGCTTTTGAATTTGATCGGTAACTGCATTTACTTTGTCAAAAGGAGAAATAGAAAAATAATTTATTTCTGACATGTCAGCAACCAACATAGCCAAAGTCGAGGAAGCATCAGAGAGTCTTTCTTGGATATAGATGAAGATCATCTTTGCACATGTTTTGAAAATCACTTCCAGAAATAAAAATTTTTAGAACAGTATCTAAACTTCTAAAAAACAAGGACGGTCCTCTTTCGTTTCTTTTCTTGTAAATGCGACGACTGCATCTTGACCTTGGCATTATGATATCCAGTTTTAGGCCCTTATTAGGCCCTTGTTAGTTTTGTTTGAGCAATCAAGTTTGGCGCCAAAACGAAGTTTGATGGGAGAAGTGAATTCTGGGATTAGCCTGATAATTTTGCGTAGCTTGCACAATGATTAAATATTTTTATGTCTAATAATTAATTCTTAGCTTACACGATAATTAATTGTATCAGTATCAAATAATTAATTCTTAGCACCTACGACAATTTATTGAAAATCTTCCATTATTAATTTTGTATCATTTAGTAGCAACTGAAGTACAGCGAATTCAATTCAAGCTGCATGAATGTATTTCATTTTATTTATTCAATGTACTTTTGAACTAAACAGGCCCCCATATAAATCGCCTAAGAGTTTAAGACACTCTTCAGCTCCATTTATTGAGCGGACATCAAAACCTGAGTGTACGCCGAAGAAGATATTCGGGCCTAAGTACATGGAATGCACCCTGGCATGGTAATCAATACAACAGCTTCTTGTTATTTACATTGATGTGCACTCTTAACCCTTTTTTTCTTTCCAAAACGCATGAATCTTCCCCTCCCAAATTTTTTCAAGAAATCAATAATCAATGTTTTTCTAAAAATCGTCAAATCTTCTATTCTGAGCGGTATAATAATTTGTTAAATTTTAGTCCGGGAGATGCATTGGTGATGGGTCCTCCTGCGTCACTAAACTTGATTCTTAGCCCCTCCCCCTCCCCCCCTCCCAGATTCAATTTCGTGGCGCAGTTTCTGTCCGATTCAATGGCGCGATTAAATGTTTGGAACTTTCAAAGTTGTTGAAAAGAACTACTATTTAATAACTACTAAAGAAACTACTGAATTGCTGTAGAACTACACCAATAACAAACTTGAACCATGTTTGTATATTATACATCATGAGTATGATGACCCTAGGCTGATAAAATCGCCCATTAGTTCATGCTGCGTAATGGACTAAGGTTACCTTTAGTTAAATAACTAAGGAACCCCAAGCAAAAATTTGCTCTTTATTGTTTTATTCTGAAGCTGGTATTCTGGATATAATAAACGAGTTCAAGGGGTTGTCAGCCTGTATGAAACATCAGTGTACTTGAATATAATGTCTTTTGATTAGTATTTTATGTTTTGCCTACGTATTTCCACGAAAATAGACCGACCCTCGAAAATAAGCCAGTTCGAAATTGCTGGATATTTTACCTAACCACGATCGAGAAAGTTAGATGTTAGGAACAGTGGCGGCCTGGCCTTTTTCACCTGGGGGGGGGGGGGCAGCAGCAAAATGGCGCCCTTCATAACTAACATTAAAAGATTGTCTGGTAACGCTCTTATATTGTTTAAGCTTGTGTGTCAAGGATAGACTGACCCCCACGTGGGCAGGGGGTCCCAAATATAATAATTTTCCATGGGGTGTCAGGACAAGTTGGACCGACTCGTGTACGAAATGGACTGTCTCTTTGAAGCCAATCCAAGCAGATAAACTAAATTAAAATGTGTCAAGAGCATGTTTGGGGAAATTCCAAGAGTTACCCTTACGCTGTGGTAAAATGAGGGTTTTGTTCTCTTTGTAACTGTTGTGTTCATTTGGCACCTTGGAGGGGAATCTGAAGCGCGAGATAAAATATTTACCTTTATTTTGCCAAACTTGTACTTTGGGGCAACTAAACAAGCTCAAAACATATACATACACAGCTTACATACAGGGGCAAATTAGGGAGGTGTCGGGGTAACAAATAATGGAAAGAGTCGGCCATAGCCAATAAGTGGAGGATTCCAGTTACTTATAAGGCTAGAAAATGCGAATTCTAACATATCTTTGAATTCACTTTGACACAATTGAAAGGTACTAGAAATGATTTGATACAACGTCAGACAACGTCATTTGATACAAAATTAAGTAAATATTTCATTGAACATTAAAGAAATATTATCAAAGACCAAACAAAACGCAACCGTTAAGAAAATGAGGCCCGACCCAACTTTCTTGTCAAAATCAATCTATGTTCCTTGAAAAAGAAACCTGAAGTACCTACTAGAAACATAAGCGACGCCGGCACGACCTATGGGCAAGGGAGGAATGCTTGAGTAAAAGGGCGTTCGAAAGATAATTCTCAGCTTCTACTAAATACTCCTTATCTGCCATTATTTCGATCCTATGTAGGTATCTTGAACACTGGCTATCTTTTGGCATAAGGAATCCATTTACAAGTTTTGAGAATTGTCGTCATGAATTAAGCATTTTATTAAAAATGCTATATGAATCTCTCTGATTATTACAATTGGCCGGTTTCAAGGGCACTTAAATGAAAAGAGCACTCTGGCCACTTTTGTTCCCATCCTTTCAAAAGGGAACAGATGCAGTTGACCCCCTGCCCACCCCTTCTCTGGCGTCCCTGGCCAACATACAACAATGAACATAATAAGCACTGACATGTAACAAACACAGAAGGATGAAGGTAAAGGGGTGCAGCTAAAAGAGAAGAAGGGTAAAGGGGTGCAGCTAAACGAATCTGTTTGTAGAGTTGATATAAAAGGTTGATGCCGAGAGATTGTCTTATTTGAAATTTCACTAAGGGCATCATTGCCATAGAGTAGAAGTGTGAGCAGTTCTTCATCGTTCAACATATAGCAGTCAGCTTCTTGGGATGCACAGATGGAGGTTACTCTGCCAAGGAGCACAGGGCACAGAGCACAGAGCACAGAGCACAGAGTACAGAGCACAGAGCAAAGAGTACAGAGCAAAGAGTACAGAGCACAGAGTACAGAGGACAGAGCACAAAATACAGAGCACGGAGTACAGAGCACAGAGCAGCATAAATTGGCTGATAGTTTCAGTACCGTCATTTGCTAAACACATTGTTTCTGTACCTTTTCAGCACCGTCATTTGTTGAAACTTGTCCAGACATTATCTTATTTCAAATCAGAAATTTTTTTTATCAATATATTGTAACATAATGGCCAGCAAAATTTGCAAAAATGCGCATCTTGAAACTATTTTGCAGCTCATACAAGACCAGGCCTATTTACTCTTAAAACTACTCGAGAAAAAAAGCGCTTACGTACACCCTTCAACCTAAGTGTAAAGAAAGGTTTTTGCACTGACAGGCCCAAAACGTTACTTGATTCATAGTTTTGATCTTTTCTCTGATGGCAATTCTCTGATTCTTTTGGTTATAACTTTACCTTCTTAGCACTGTTTGATTCCGTTCATTAGGACCTTCAAACAAAACATATTTTTCTACAGTATTAGACCCTGTTTATACGAGACTTGGACCAGATCGGGTCCAAAAGTATCCGGATTCTTGTGGATCCGATCCCAGGCGTTTACACGGGATGCGATCAAAAACCACTAACGTTTACACGGAACCGGATAAAAAAGATCGACAGATAACGCGCATGCGCTTTTCAAAAAATGGAGTGCATCAGACGTTTTTTATGCAAACTGAAATTGAAACAATCTGTCTAAACTTAACATTGATGAGGTAAAGCCACTCACAATTCAACCTGAAAGAGCTGTTCGCAAAAGACGGACTCGCAGTGAATATTTTTTAGACGTCTGGTTTCATCTCATCGTACTAAGTCAGGGCCCGCGTCACGAATTTGAAAGTGGGAGACCAAGGCTAAAAAAGTTGGGGGCCAAGGCTTCTTACCTCTTTTCCGACAGCTTTTAAGCCACTTGCTTCGCAAAAAAGTTGAAAGTAACTATTTTTAATCGCGAAGACAGACTTTGAAACGCAGAAAATCGTTTAATCTGACTCGTGCAATAAGCAACTTTGTCAAAAGCCCAAATATCATTGTTTTTGACACGTATGGGTCGCCTGTGTGCGCTGGGCTTCACGAAACTGTCTGCATCTGCTATTGCGAGAGAAGAAAATTGGCATTTCTTCTGTCTAACTTTCGTAAAAAACGTAAACGGATCCGACCTAGACCAGATCCAACCGTTTACACGTGATCCGGTACCAAATTCCTTCCCATACTTCTTAAAACCCAAAACAGAGTGAGAAATACACAATTTTCTTTAAGCATTGCAAAAGTTCAGGCGTTGTTGTATTTCTGTTATATTTTTGCAGCCCAGTATAATTTGATTCGCCTTTTGATGAAAAAAGTAGTCGGTGATAGTTTAAAAAAATGTTTTTATCCCCACCTTAATCTTCATATTTCTGAAAAGAATATAAAGTAAACAACCGTTTTGTGAAAGAAGAGTTTAAATGTAGCCATTTATTTTTGTCACTTAACTTTTCTAAGTCATGCCTGGCCTTTTAAAATCCTTGAATAGTGTTTAAACCAGGCACCGCGGAGCGTGCTAGTGGCTAACCCCCCCCAGCCCCCCCTGCTCCGCGGTGCCTGTAAACTTACGATTTTCTCTCACCCCAACAACATTACATTTATGACTGCGGAGCGCGCTCCTGGAGGCTGCGGAGGTGTTTTGTTCATTCAACTCAATTCAACAATTCAGTTTGGCCCTGATGAGTTTGGCCTAGGCTGGGTGTCTTTTGCATTTCGACAAAAATCCTGTTGCAGACATAAATAAAATAGACATGGTAAGTTTAAAGGAACTTTAAATTGCTGTAAGCTAACTCTGTTCACAAACGAAAGCTCGTGTATTCGTTAAAGGATCAAAAGCTTGGGTGAACTGAACGCGTTTGTAAGGAGACAGGCTCACTGTTTATAGGCCTATCATCACTTTTTGATTTAGTTTAGTATTGTAGGTGCTAGCCTTCTAGAAACTGGAGAAACTTGTAGAAACCATAAAATTATTGCGCTGAAATATTTGCAGCTTTTTGGTATAGAAAAGTAAAATCGTTTATGAAGCTTCTTAACTGCTTACAATTAAAATCCAAAGCCTGCAAAACATGACAGTTCTCGGTCAGATCTCCCGCGTGAGCCATTTTTTCTCAACAAAACTAAGATATTGTTATCTCCATGGATCCCTTAAGAAACACTTTTGAAAGGAAACAACGTCTGTAAACAACATTGTAATTGTCGATAGGGGTAGCCCTCTGGAATTTTAGGACCACTTGTGTAGACAAAGGGGTTGCAATTGCAAGTATTGTATGACATAGCCAACCATGCATCTGCAGAAGAAATGATGGCTAACAGAATCAATTGGTGACTATTTTAGATGCTGAACAGGCATTTGAACAGTATTGTACTTGTGATGATATATCTATTCTATACCATGGGTGGGAAATTAATTTTTCTAAGGGGCCACATGAGAAAACTGAATGGTGTTAGAGAGGTGAACCAACAATAACTATATTCTGTACAATATTTATTTTCCCACAACGTAAAATTAAACAAATTATATATACTATATTTTAGCTGACTACCTGTTAACTGAAAGATCTAGATATTATGTAATTATGAATTTTATGAAATTGTGGTTTAAGTCAAGTGGAAAAACATCCCTACAAAAGGTCATGTTGTGATTGATGACACTTAAGCAAGCTAGACAGGAATGTCTAAAGGGCCTGATGTGACACATGGGTGGTAAGAGCACAGAATAGAAATGATCAGAAGGGTCACTCGTGTCGGCATCCTTTGTTGCAAGTTCACTCGATTTTTTCTGGCGCTGTGCTGTCTGTCCATACAATTCTCGTTTTCAACCGTCATGAAAGAAGGCTGGTAGTCTGGGATGTTTCGCAATCGCAGGCGTAATGCAGCAAATTTCAAAACAAGCTACTTTGAATATCACTGGGGCTGCATTTCAAACTATCATGAAGCAAAAGGAGAGTGAATAAAACACAGAGGGGCTTAGTTCGTTATGGATCGTGAGTTTGGAAAAGATATTTTAACTCCATGTTATCTAATAATCAATACTACAGCTCTTCTACAGTTGTGAGATACGAGACCGCCATTAATAGCAGTATTTTTTATTTATGAAGCAACATATACAGGGCAAGGTACTAATTTAATTCTTTTTCGGATCGCTGAATTTGTTTTCCTAGTCCTATCTGGCATTATTGTGTTGTTTTTCATCAATGTGCTTTGTTCGTGCTTATTGTTTTACATACTATCCTCGTTTTGGTGACGCATGCGCAAAAGAACTCATGCTGAATCAATTGACCAGGACCCGTCTGGTCATTTCTATTCTGTGGTAAGAGGCCCAGGTCTGTTCTATACTATATCCTTAAGCTGTGATGTTTTTTACAGATAACCAACTTCAAATTTTCTAATCATTGCATAAATATTTGTCGACCTGTGTAAGTCTTACTTTGCAGAAGTCAGACAATTTTGTATTGTCCATGAAGATCTTACTTTAAATGCGAGATTTCTATACGTTTTCCATCATTTGATGCTTTAAAAGTCCATGCTCAAGATACTTTTCAGTATGCAGGTTTATCCAGTTCCAACTCAATTCTTTTCGCCTTAGTAAGTCTGCACTCTTGAGGCTATGTGTTTTGTTATGGGACTTCAATCACATATGGGCAAGGCCTGAAATTTGGAATCACTTAGCAGCTAGCCACTAAAATGTTGAAAATTATTTAAAACACAGTTAAAATGCACAGTGACTTGAGAAACCATCCACAACTATCAATGCATTTGCAACAGATTACAAATTTAAAAATTTGACTATCATTTTAAGTTTTGACCAGCATATACCTTTCTTACACAGGTTGTAAATTTAACTGGACAGGCAGCATTGCACTTCCCTGTTAAGAAATCACACATTTATACTGCTAAAGCTCTTGGTGGAATGATGTGGTTTTGGATATTCTGGAGACTAAAGCATGATTGGGGACATTTTGTTGTGAGTTTCAGCTTTGTTTGCAGCTGGGCTGAATTTTTTAGCTTTTTAAAAATCTAAAACAGATAGCTTTCTTATAACTGAAATTTCCTGCATTACACTACACTTTAACAAGAGTGATCTGACAGTTGCTGGGGGGGGGGTTGGCAAGGGGGCAACTGCCCCCAATACTTTAGAGGACAATGGTTTTTTGTTATAAAACAATGGGAAGTGTGACATCATCTTATTAAAACTATAGGCTGTCCCCCCAATATTTGACCAAGTGTCTGCCCCTGATGCTGGCTATCAGAATACCTGATATATATATCCTGATAGATAGATAGATATATATTTATATATAATCAAAAGGCAAATGCTGACAGGAGAAAAATTCTTTCCACAATGGTGCTGTCCAATTGTATCAAACTACTCTTGGTCAGAATCGAACTCCAGTTTGCTGCTTCAAAAACATCTGCTCATTCCACTGAGACAAACGGCCCAATGAAATGAGCGATGAATCTCTGAAGCCAACACTGGAGATCTCACCGTAGCCAAGGCAGTTTTTAGTTTCTTCTGTTTCGGCTTAAAGCCTTCATCAGATCCATTCAAACAATTTTCCCTCTTAATGTCAGCATTTGCCTTATGTATGTTTATATATATTTATAAACATATTTATATTTATAGTTACCTGATGATTTCCGTAAGCATGAAATTCAGAGTAGCAGCTTAAAACCATCCTGTTTTATACACCAAAAGTGTATATATTGTTCAATGCAAAAAAAAGCTTAAACTGTTTAAATTGGAGTGGCAAAAAGGTTTTATAAATGCAACATCAAGCATTGAGCCATGCTGTAAAAGGTACAAGGGTGCAAAGTGTAAATGGCTTTTTGTAAAAAGAAAGGCTTTAGAATCTATAGCCACAGAGAAGCCATTTTTTCTCTGATGTTGTTCATGTCTTTGTGTAACATGCAAGTTGTTTCATTAGATGCCACCACTTTCTAGTAAAACCAGAAAATTAATTAATTGTAAATCTGCTTTCAAAACTCATACAAGCTCAGCAACATGTTTCAGTTGCTGTGTTCAGTGCCTGTTTTTTAAAAAAATCATAGAAGGTAGAGGGGCAATAGGGTTGAATTTGCCAATTGCTCCAATCTTTGATTGGTCTTGTTGCTGCAGGAGCATGTTTCCCCCTTTTCCTTATAACTACCAGCAGAGATATTAAGGCACTTAATAGTGGTGCCATATTTTTTGCGGAAAATGGATTGGAACGAAAATCTTCAAGAAACCAGAAAAATGTGTCAGGTTTCTTTTGATATGGAACAGAAACATAATGATGACGGAAAAAAGAAAACTGTCAAATGTTACATTTAAAACAGAAATGCTACCCCTTAAGAACCCCCCTCTCACTAGGGTCAGTTTATGACTACTGCTTGAACCATTTTTAGCACTTTTATATTTTGCATGTTTACCATTTGACTAGGTTACTAGCTCCAAATTCCTAGCAAAAAGTGGTTAACCAAGTAGAACCCAAAAATATTTTGCCCCTGGCTCTCTTACGATCCAATCTGAAGTTGTGTGGCATGTTGTTAGTTTTTCAAAAAATTGGGGTTTCAACCATTTCTAGTAACAAGCTATTACAGTATTAATGCATTTTTCTTCTCTGGTGTTCAATTTTATGGAAAGTCTAAAGCTTTTTTGAACAAAAATGAAAAACCGAACCTTCCCATTCAAGGATCCACAGGGTGTTCTTGTTGGTTTCTGCATGACCTCTTATCTCCAAAGCCTTTCCGGTGGCTAAACAATACTGGTTACTAAAATCTTCCATTGGTGTTACAAAACGATAACATTTTTACCTTAGGCCACTAGATAACAAAGAGAAGTCATGATAAGGAATACATTTGGTTTTGTTAGAATTCCATGAATGACTTGATAGCTGGTAAAAATTTTGAAGGAAGGAGAAGTTAAATGCTTAATGGGAGAAAGATCAAATTTTGTTCCAACATTAACTGCCATTGAGTGAGTTGAATGATCAACTAAAGACTTTGCCAACCCAGTAAAGATTTTACAAACAAACAAAATACTTTGGTAACACCCTATACCCCTATAAGATAATTCCTGCAGATACCGTTTTCAGTATAATTTTCAGCATTATTTTCTATCAAGTTTTTAACAGCTCATGCTAAGCCCTGCTCAAAGTTTTCTCTCCAAAAAGCCACTATTGTTGGTCAGTGGAAGCAAATTTCAAGGAATACAGGACAAACATGAATTAAAAGATTTTTCTTTAGAAATGTAGTTTCCAATTTGTAGCTGGTAATGTTGAGGAAAGGCTCAAAAGTTGTTAGCGAAGCCCTAACAAGGGAAGGGAGGGAGGGGTTTGGAATAGAGGGAGGGGTTTGGAATAGAGGGAGGGGTTTGGAATAGAGGAAGGAAAGATCAAGCTTGTTAATTTTAGTTTTAAATAAAGAAAGGATGTAAGAGTCTGGTAAGCAGAAAGAGGGCAGAGCGTTTCAAAGTTTACAAGATCTAGGGATGAAAGATGAGTTGTGAGACAGAGTTCGTGAATTTAGAAGCTTTAAAAAGGTTCAGCACTAGAAGAGTATCTGATAGTATGTATGTGTCTCAGAGGACCAGGGATCTCTGCTCTCCTGAGAGCAATGTCCGTGGTCAGATCTGTTTCCAATAGGCTTGGTGTGTGTAAAAGTAGCTTTGAAAAGTATTTTCATTAGATATGTCTTTTTAGAACAAAAAGTGTGTATTTCCTTTCAGTTTATCATAGATTAGCAACAGTGAGCGATAGCAATTAGGGGGAGGGGGAATTATCTAGGTCCTAAGTCGAGAGGAAAAGGCGAAAATACAATATATTTTATTTTGAAGGCACCAGAAGCACTTCAGTTCCTGAGAACTGTGTTGACGAAATTTTTATGGTATCTTGTGCTCATCACAGTTATCTGCTCCAGACACTTTTATAATTAGCATGCTAGCCGAGGGCTTCAAGATTTTACGCGAGTTGAAGAAAATGGACTTCAGACTTTTTATCCCATCATTCGTATAACGTAAGATTATTTCTTGATAATATAGAATCGAGAAATTGGATCAGATCAAGCAACGTATAAAAATCTAGAGGGAAGGCTTATAAAGAGCGATTGGTTTAACCAAAGTCTCTGAGGCACTTTGATTAACTATTGAAGTCGAACAAAAGGTCAAGCAAGTTATTTCATTTACAGAGTCCGTTAGGCTACTAACAAATTTGTTATTTCCGTTTTATAACCCACTGTTTTGAGCTTTGGTATGTAGAGTTTCTAGAATTCGCTCAAAATTGAAACCATCGCTATCTGATAGCTACTTCTTTGCGGGAACAATGTGGTATGTTTCATGACGCCTGCAAGAGTCGTGAGAAACTCCTCATCACGCGAATTTCTTCATTGACAGATCCGTCGGAAACTACGGCCCCCTATAATAGTGCACTGATCAGTAAGCACCCGCAGTAGCAGGTAACAGCACCCCCCTACCCCACTCCAATATGGACTTCGTTCCGACATTACTACAAAGAAATACCCCTAATGCATAAGATTATTATAAAACCAGTTGCAGAAACGAATGCAATGTCGCTTCTAACGAACAAGGACAGTTGAGTAAATGAAATCGAATAGTAAGTGGCAAGCCACCCTGCAACTGGCTGTCTGATTGGCTTTACTTCAAATTACTTTGATACCAAGGAAGGGCAATTTTGGGAAGAAAATGCTCTTTTGAAATAAAGTCCCAGAAGCGTAACAGAATGTGTTCGAGGGAGTCTATCAAGTCACCCTACGTCTCAGGTTTAGGATAATCCTATCTTTCAAATAAAATTTCGGTGAAAATCAAACTGGCCTGGCGGTACCTCCTATTTGGGTACCCCTACACAAATGAAGCCTTGTGCCAGTATGCATTCTTCGTTTTCCTTTTGCTTTAACATATTTTCTGTTCTCGTAGGGTCATCATGAAGAGGTATTTGCTGGCATAGAAGAGCGCAAAAGAAAAATCTTAGCAAGTCAAAAGAAACTACAGAATGAATGAAGACATAGCCTCATAAAAAATTGCGCGAGACATTTAATTTTGTTTTCTGTTTGTATGCGAGAGTGTTTAATATCAAATTCAGCTTAGTGTCCGGTCTCCTCTTATCTGTTTTGATTCTCTATATGCATTTTTACTGCCATTTACCCAACAGCAAACGTACAGCCAGTTGGGAATACTGAAGGCCCAGGACTGTTGGCCCAGGACAAGTACCCTTTCTAACATGCCTACGGATCGTATATAGGACTCACGTTATCTTTCTTTCCCTTAAGCTGATCAATTATTGCCGGTTGTGCAAAGATAAGACCCCTGTGATCATCTGTCGATCGGCAATATAAAATTACCCTCGATTCCTGGAGGAAAGCGGAATGTAGATTCAGTTTTCCTGTCAGCACGTGGTGTATGAAGTGTGTCACTTGTACAACCGTTGGAGGAGGGGATTGGATAATATTTATCTTAACTGGACAATATAATATAAAGTGGTGCTTTGTGATGAATGGGTATTTCTGTGGAGGTGGGGAGGGTACTTGGAGGTGTATGGGGCGTGGAGATGGTGATGAATTTTAAACACTTCTATGGAGAACGTTAGGCGAATAATTTTTGGCTGGATCTATTGAATATCCCGATTCTTGCCCGGTGATTCCAATTGACAGCCTGACCGTCATACCACAAGCTATTGGAACGCACACCACTTGCTTGCAGAATCGAGAAATGAACGGGTCCAGATCGTAAATTAATCGAACATAGAAACTTCACTGAAGCAAAAGTTTTTTGCCCTTTAAATTGCTCCCTTTTTTACAATGCAAACCCCATGGTGACTGCAAAGCTCCACTAAAACATACTTGTATGGAAAAAGATTCATTTCAAAAGAAAATCAAATTAGTTGCACAAAGCTCCTAGAAGCACATACATTTGAAAACAGATTTATTTCAAAAGAAAGTTTCATTTGTTGCCCACGGCTACAAAACAAGAAAAGGGACGAAGATACAGAGACAGCTGATAAAGTCTTTTATTCAATACTTATAAATGTCACTGACAACTGGAATTAAAGCTTGCTACACTAGAACATTTGATATTGACAAAGGCTGATTTCTTTAGAACACTCGATGGCAAACCATAATACAGCCATTTAATTCTTACCTCGTTCAGAAAAATTGTTCGATGTTTATTATGCTCTGCTAACAGCTAGAAGTTTCACGTCCTTGATACACTGGGCTAATGCATCCTTTTCCTAAGGTAAACAAATAAAATCAATAAACTCTATTTTACTGAACAGCATAAAAGATATAGACCAAACAGTTTTGAGATTTTTGTTATCTTGGTCATACAAGTGCAACGGTTTGCTCACACTTCCTAAAGAACGCTGGTCTCGTTTACAGAAAGCTTTACGAACACCTCTTGTAAAACCAAACTTTGAAAGTACATGTCCTTCCAGGGATGTGTCCGCAGAAAGAAAGGCTGGGCACAACTACCTGTAAATTTTTAAAAGTTGTTTCTTGATGAATGTTTTTCTATACCCACAGCCATTGGCTTGGTAAAACCGCCTCCCCTTATGGGCAAGACAGTACCAATCGAAGATATACATTAAGTAGATCATAAATTATAAAATACTTTAAGGGGATCTTAAAATACCCAAATTAAATAATATAAATAGCTATTGAAATATAGAGTAGCATGGAAACTGTAAAACCGCCTCCCCCAAATGGTAAGAAAGAACCAATCAATTAATTAATGGGATCATAAATTCAATTTGAATTGTTACTGAAGTAAAAAATAGCTCCATTTTCATGAAAACTGTTCCTTGCAACTTCTTTCCGTCAGTTGAATATTCAATGAGTGAATTAACGAACCCTAGAGCAAGCCTTTGTGCTAGTTTTAGGCGATCTTTCTAGCAGCTAAAATCTTCAAACGACGTTCACATCCAAGTATAGATATTGTGATGTAATTTTCTTGAAAGAGCACAACTTTTTAATTCTTTGAAGAAATTTTTAGGCCAGGTGATTTGGACACAATGGCTGCCCTAAGCAAAACATCCCTTTTCCAATACAATCAATATATGCTTGACATGTCACCTATGGAATCATTTATCTCCGTTCATTTTATGGATTTTTTTGTTTTGATGGACGTTTCATCTACTGAATGTTTCGGCTATTGACGAAATTCCAAAGATTTGAAATTCGAAATACTGCGCAAGCAAACATCACGATCTGCTTCAAAATTGTTTACGTTTGTCTTCACCGAATTACTAGAACCCTATTTAGGGAGCTTACAGGCAATAAACAGATACGAAAATAACTTAAATGGTTCAAGCCACCTATCAATCTATAATTGGCCAATCAGTGAATGTGATATAACTTACACGCTTATGGTTTGCAAATAGTTAATTGATAGATGGCGAAAACCACTTTAGCAGCTTTGGGTTACTTTTAAAAAAAGGGAAAGGCGTTGTTTGCGTGCGGAGCTAAATACAGACGGTGTCATCCACTTAATGTATGTGGCGCTAGTTAATATATCATGGTCACTTTCTGGGTCAAAATGAAAAGTTTGGACCAAAATATAACAAAAAATAGATAAAAATTAATTTACAACGTTACGAAATTCGTAAGTCTTTTAAAAAATTATAATCAATCTGTAATACCCATGTGTCTAAAAATTAAGAAGTCCCTCCTTTTTTATTCTAACAAAACCCGATAGGACATTTCGCGATTTTCATTTGAATATGGAATTCAAGAGCTCATTTTTTTAGTTTTTGTCTTTATATGAAATCTTTCAAATGATTGCACTCCAATTCGACGTTTCTACTACAATTTAATTTCAACGAACCTGTTGAGGTGTGATGCTTTTCACGACGACATTTTCTAACCAACTAACTATATGCTCTTGCTCAAGATTCTTTTTCAGTTGCTGTAATTCAACTTGGAAATCCTAAAATAAAGCAAATGAATAATCAATGTTATCACAAGTTGGCATTTGGCTTAAAACTACATCTAGAAATAGTAACGTTTGAGTCAAACTAAAGCTTTTCGTCCGACACTCTTCAGAGTATACAACGTCAGAATACAGATTGAAAACTACACGATATATACCCAGTTGTAGATCGAAATAGGCCCATACTCTGAAGTTTTATACTCTGAAGAGTGTCAAACGAAAAGCTCAAAATGTATGACTCAAAATGTTTGCATTTTTCAAAGCAATTCATAGTCTAGTTATAACTTTTCTTCCATTAGGTTAGATGGAACATCGCGCTTTGTATCCATCATGCAGTAAATTGTTGTCACGGGGACATCTACATAAAGAGTAGACAGTGAAAGTGGGCGTACAAAAAATCTGACTGACCAGAATGAGTAATTCTAAGGGTTAAAATCCAACAAACCATAAAGCATTTGTCGTTGGAAATTTCTTACAAATTGGCTATGTTGGAAGATGGATTAAATAATTGCCGATGTAAAGTTTTTTTTAAAGGCAATAGTCTTCGTAAAATGTTTATGAGGTGTAACAGTAACAGATGTACAACACAAAAATATGTACAACACAAGAATATGGTTGATTGAGACTAAAGGCTCAATAGATAAGGTCTTAAAGAAATAGACAAGGTCATACAAGAAAATAAAACACCTGAGTTTGGCAATTAAAGCACAAACAAATAAACAGCAACAGGATAAAATGTTTGAAATCTTGGAAGACTATAGAACCGCTCCATAATTAAAGCAACATCCAAAAATGTAATACAGAAACTTGTGAGATGATTCTTTACAAAGCTGACAATCAAATACAATTTTAAAAGTATGTATGTCTCAAATTTCACCAAAGAAGAATTTATGGGGAAAGTTTAGCTAGAAGAGAACTAGAAGTTTTAAGGTGAATTCTTACGTCTTTGACACGACAGTCTGCAAAAAAGGATCGCAAAATGGTGCAGTCTTGATACCATTAAGATTAAAGTTCGCCGATATTAGACTAAGAGGACTAGCAACAATGAATTTTTAATTAAAAAAATTGCCTAATTATTGCCTTGCGCTTTATCCGTTTGTGAGCCTTAGTGCTAATTAAGGCTTAGCCTTCAAGAGGCTCCTGAACTGGGAGTCTGTGTAAGGTGAGCTAATGATTCAAAGGGAATAAATTTAAGGGGTTTAATGTGACTTGGTATAAAGCAAAGATAAACTTCGTAGGCAGGTTAAGGGGAGTTTGGCGCGTGTCTGATTGAAGAGCTTAGAGCAAAATACGATATGTAAAAGAGTGTATTTTAAGGACAATGAAGAAAGGGGTGAGAATGAAGCAGAGAGTGAATAAATAAAGCAACTGTCAAACTGAGTGTAGAGAAAGTTAGACATGGATTTTAAAAAAACCAAAAATTTTGAAATATGTTACTAAAGCTTGTCGTCTGACACTCATCAGAGTATAAAACGTCAGAACAAAGATTAAAAGCTCACGTTCAATACTCTGAAGAGTGTCAGACGAAAAGCTTCAGTATGTTTCAAAATGTTTGCTTTTTCAAAGCCATTTATAATTTTTGTACCACCAAAAGATTACTTGAAAGATAGAGATTTTCAAACAGCAACTAAAGGAATTTTAGTGAAATGGTTTGATTAAAAAAGATACTCGAGAGTTCGGTCGGAATAAGGCAGTGATAGTGTGGAAGAGGGGTAAAAATACGGGCAAATTGCGCCGTTTTCTCGCTGGCTCATTTCTATCCATATTTCGAGAGTAATTTGACCATTTGCAGAGCATGTTTAAAAAACGGTTTTGAGTAAGTACATGAATAATAGAGCTCCATTGAAGGTAGGTCGTATAACTGGGCTATTCAAAGATACAGAAGAAAAATAATAGGCAAAAGAAAAGAAAGAAAAATGTAAAAAAGGCATGAAGCAAAAGGGAAAATGGCGGACAAGGAAAAAGAACAAAGATGAGAAAATAATTTAAAAACAAATTGGAGAATAAATATTTTGAAATGAATAGATATGCAAAGATAAGAGTAAATTAAACGACATAGTTATAAATTCAATAGCAACAAACAACTGAACTTTTCGTTTGGAAATATTTTAAGGCGGGTAGCCCTTCAGCAAAAGATGTTTTTCAAGGGGCCTTCCTCTAAGTAAATTGACAATTTTATGTTAAATTTCAAAAAAACATGACAATATATTTGTCATGTTTTTTTGAAAAAACAAGACAAAAACCTAAAAACCCACCAAGATATACACTGAACAATGAATATTTGAGAAAACAAGGAAGAAAAATTTAAAATGAACAAGGAAAAACTAACACATACCAGTCTCTTTTTTACTTCTTCGTAAACTTTATTGACATTTTCTCTGTATTCTAATTCCATCTTCATTGAATTGTTTTCCTGAGAGTGAAATGAAATGGTTGAAAAATTATCATTCGATTGCAACACTACATTATACAGAAACAGCCCAGAATGCAAATCAAAAAGAAGGATGAACATCTAAGGATATTCATATTTGATGCCTTAGGCCTTGTTCACTGTATAACAGATTTTGTTCAACGATAAAAAAGTTCGTGGACACAGATGAAACAATACAGTAATTTAAAATTAACCATCAAAACAATACACAAAAAAAGTTTTGTTCAACGTTTAAAAAAATTTGTGGACACAGATTAAACAATACAGTAATCTAAAATGAACCATAAAACAATACGCAAAAAGACATTATTCAACGATTAAAAAATCGTGGACGCAGATAAAACAATACAGTAATTTCAAAGGAACCACCCAAACACTCCATAAAGCAACAAAAGATTTCTAGAAATTTAATGAACTTTGGTAACGGATGCAATGATATTGCGAAGCAAAAAAAAAGTGTTCTGGTAGTCTTAACGTATACGGTCTGCCTAAATACAACTGAGTTGTGAGATGTTTCAAGAAACATAAATGAAGTGCTGAACATAAATACTATCTTCAACATCCTTACAGCAAATGAGGCAAAAACTATATCTTGCAAAACAAGCAATCAAATAAAGAGTGTTAGGAATTACCTATTACGTATTAAAATTACATTTTACACTTTATTTTTTTTGCTGCCATCCAGTCTAGCTTTGATTCTAAACTTTTAATGATAAAGAATAAAGAGTCGTGAGAGTATTATGCGCGTTGAAGAGAGATAATAGAGAGAGAGTAGAAAGAAAGAGTGTTATACGCCCACTAGGAAGAGTGTCGAGTCACTGACAAGAACAGATTTTAAAGTGGGGAGAGTCACCAGCTCTCTGCATTTCCAGGCGTATGAATCGCAAAGTGTGGTCACATAGATAGGAAGTACCAAAACAATGCTCGATAAGCAAAGTTTCTCAGTGTCCTAAAATCAACGATCGGCAGCTTGAGTTTACATTTTGTATTTCTTTTGTATTTGATACTACAAATACAAAAGAAATACAAAATGTAAACTCTTTCCTTCGTGAACAAAAACAGAGCCAAGTGAAACCGCTTCTTTGACACAAAAAACAAAATGCTTATGTGAGCGGAGCAGTACAGGAAACAGCAGTCGAAGAAAAAATGCACCTCAACTGATGTGAACCGATGGCACAAATCACGAATCACATGTACAACCATGTGCATAGTTCAAAAGAATCAGAGAATAGTAATATCAAAATTAAAAATCAATTACGAAACAAGTAACAAAGTCTATAATGTAACAAAAACAATAACATAACAATCAATGAACCACAAAAAAAACTAAAAAATTTTTTTTTGGTTGGTATTAACCAATTGATTATTATGAAAAATTATAATGAATAAAAACAAGAAATTTCCGGTAGTGAATCCCCATTGATGCTAACATTACCACAGGTTTGGCATTAGACTTTCTATAAACTGAAATCAAATGTCCTGAAATAATCGGTAAATGAAGGGAGAAGAGGAATATCAGTGTGGCTTTGACTTGCTACAATTCTTTCTTTGACTGGCTTCAAGCGAGACACAAGTCTTTCTAAAAGTGGATCTTCTATTGGAAACTGGAACAACACCATAGAATAGTGACAATACCAGGCAAAGGCAACGACAGTGAATTCACAAACAGGATCAAAAATGTCATGGTTATGCAAGAGTCTGATGGGTTTGGGCCAGATTGGGTGCATTCTACAGAAGTATAACCGGAAAGGATAGCCAATACTACAATTCCAGACCCAAACTGCCACGTGAGCTTGTCCCTTTAACAATGCAATACGTTGTGGCACACGGACACGTCTAAAGGCTAGTTTCCACTTGATTGCTTCTAGTCGAACGACCATAAACAAAGAAAAATAAGCATTCAAACTTTCATTTCTCAAGATATACAGTAAGTCCCCGAATACAAGAACCTATAAAAATTAAAACATAAAAGCTGATTTTTGAAAGTATTTGCAAATTTAAATCAAGAAACTGTTTCAGTTTGATGAAAAAATAACTTCTTATAACAAGGGTTATCTCTTGTTGATTCTTGTTATCTCTCGGCAAGGTTTTTAAACAGCAAAGTAGGCGCACTTTTAGCATGTAATATACATGATTGAATGTCTAAAATTTCTGTCAAGATTCTAAGCTCAGAAATAGTTCCAAAGTCATGAGAGACATTACCGTAGGTAGTGTGATTCATGAACGCATGGTGATGACACCTGAGAGGCTTTCATACGCGGCATTCAAGTCAGAACCTCTATACCCTTAACTTAACCAAACTGTGAAACTGGTTCATCCTAACCCTAATAAAATGGGTCATTGATGCGGGGACTTGCTGTACTTGAAAGCGTTTATCAAGAATGTGTAAAAAAGTATTCTGGCAGACCTACTCTTGAAAACCTTTTATAAACTATTTTCTTTATGACTAGCTAAAGTTTAACTAATCATGAACGTATCTTTACGAATAACGATTCAAAAGTTCTGAAAAAGGGTACATTGTGCAAAGCAACTTTTATTTACAGGCGCCTGTGATTCATGAAACAAAAGAAACAGAAATTGCAGGTTTTATGTTTATTGGAAAATACGTTGGTCATACGATGGCTAAAACATCGTGCAATATGTATTGATAGCCAACCTAAGCAAATTACATAAAGAAAATGTTTTAGTTGATAATGAAGTGATAAAAAGAGCCGAAATCAACTTCAAATTAACTACTGCCAACCATTAATTTTGTTTTTCACAATCTGCTTCCATATCAAGGACAAGTTAAGAGGATTTGATCGCTAAAAATCCATTATTTTCAGTATTAATTTGGCATGAATGTAATGAAAATAGGCCTTTTCAGGTAAACTTTTGACATCACAACCAATCTGCAATAGTCGCAACCGCAAGCTTTGGCAGTAAACAACACAGCGATTTAGCCCTAATTGCCAGAGGTAATCACACCTGGGTTCTACTAAGGACCAATTCAACCGATGATATAGACACAGAAATGCCGACAATAAGTAAACAAGAACTGCTTAAACAAGATAATGAGTATACAAGACAATTAAGTATTAAGAAGATCATTTAAGTAAATCGGGTATACGTGCTTCACCTTCAATACTTCGTAGATCTGGTCTCTGCATGAATAAACAGCTTCCACTGATTTCTCGTCAGCGATTGCCTCCTCGTAAGCTTTAATCCTTGCATTTCGGCCTTCGTTCATCGCATCCAAGATATTCTGTTAAGCAAAAGCAAGGCGGTTATTCTCTAAAAACCTTTGGGCTAGGGCACTGATGGGCCTTGGGCATTTCAGATGTCGTGTCCTCCAATCGCGAATAATGAAAGGACATAATGATAGTTAACTGCTAAATGGGTGTACCTAGATACGAAAAGTAACATACGAAATAATCTAGACTGTGGAATAATCTAGAAAGGGCTACCGAATTGGCCCCCTCCCTGAAAACCTTCAAAGAACAAATATAGTCGGGGACAACTTTTATTTCATCTTTACGTTCACTTTTTATAGCCTTAGTATTATTAAATATTGTAAATTAGGTTTGATTGGTAAATTTCTTTTGTTACTAGTATTTTAACATAGTTATGAGCTCTTATTTTCATCTTTTAAACAGGTCAGGTTGAAAAACATATGTATGAACCTTTAACCTGTATAAATATTATAAAATGAAATGAATGAAACGAGCTAAACTGGTTATATTGCATATGGATTTTGCTGTAACTAGTATTGCTAAAATAATCTTTTTAACAAAGGCGAGTTTCTCAAGTCCGCCTTGCTCATTCATACTCCAAGCGTCAGGGTCTGGGAACCTTGAAGGAAAAGCGTTCAAAGGAGGAAGTTGATAAAACATGGATTACATCAAAACATGTAAGTTTTAAAAGGGCAGGCATGAAGAACGAGGGAAAACAATTACAGTACAATATTTAATTTTTTTCCTATTATGATTCTTCAAAGACAGTAAAAATAAACACAAAAAGTCTTATAGTATAGTTTGCACCAGAAAACTGGTGGGTAAATAAATGCCTGGCAAAATCACAACCGAAAAGAAATTGAAAGGTCAAAATTTGAGCTGCAATGGTTCAAAAATCGTGTCTGAAACTGAATATTCAAGACTGTTTTTTAAGACTTACGACGTTTTTTTAAATGATTTGTAATGAAATTTTTCAGACCCAAAAAACCGAGCTCTCCCGGAAAACTTTCTTGACTAAACTTCCAGGGGCTTGGGGTGGCCCAAAAGCAACGTAAAATGTTACAATGAAAAAAACATAGGAAGTCAAAGTTGTTTTTGAGATGAGTCCCTCGTAAAGTAATATGTTAAGAGTTAGAAATATGCTGGAGCCTTCCATCAATTACTTTTCACTTTTTGCTTTATTACCTGTCATATCTTCTAAAAATAGTAACAGAATTGTTGTCGACTAGTTTGCGTTTTACTGTCACAGTTTGTTTACCCCCCAGTTGAAGCAAACTAAACGTTTGTTACAATCGTGAGATTATAAAATGATTCAAACGATTATCATTAGTGTCGTTTCTGAGTGCGACAACGTCTGAAGATACAATTAATTTCCAAGCCACAAAAACAAAGAAAATGGGCGGAATATACCAAAGAATGTCGGAATATACCAATAAATATTTGGATTTGGCAAAAAAACGTCTAGAAAAGTGCTTGCTCCTTCTTTCTCCAGACAATTTTCGAAAACATCTTCAAAAATAAGGCCAAGATTCCGGGTTCAAAGGCAAAACAATGACCAGGGTTTTGAAAGTGAATTTTTCAAATTCACGGTCAAATGCAAGTGTCTCTTGTAGAGTGTACTTTAGAGTGAAACCTTGCTCTACCACAACAGTGGAGAAGGGGGGGAGGGGGTGGGGGCTAATCGAGTTGACCCAAACTGAATTTGTCAATTCTTTGATGATGGAACTCGTAATCTTTTAAAGGAAGTTTTATCCGTTTTTCGGTATTTCTTTGCAAAGAATCTCAAGTCCATCTCTAATTGGTGTATAAATACGGGGATTCATAGGGGGAAACGGCAGGGGTCAAGAGCGAGTCTCGGGTGGGGTACACGAACGGGCTGGGACTGCCTATTCTCAATACAGTATGTTAGAAGATTGTGAGATCTTTGTAAATAAAATTCAAAACAGACAAACTAGAAAAAAGACACTCGGAACGGGCCCCGGCTCCCAGCAGAGGCCCAAGCGGAGATGTGACATTTCGGAATGATCCCATAAAAATGGCGCCCAAGAACCATTTGAAGATACTTTGCGACATGTCAAAAGTTCTACTGAAATACACTTGGCGCGCTTCTGTCTTTAAAGAATGTATCTCTGTGGTATCATCCTTTCAAACTCACTGCCACAAATGATCTTAAGACAGCATAGCATTCGTCGGTGCACCTTTCTGCCGAGCTGCCAATGGTGTCTTATCAGGTAATATCACCCAGACTAATATCAAAAACAGGATGTCTAACGTCAAAATCCTTTGCCTCACGTCTATTTACATTATAGCTAATAATAACATTGTTTCTTATGGCGCGGCAATGCCGATGTAACAAATTGCCTTTAATCAAATTCCGGCTCAGAATACCACTGCCTGATATGCGATTCGTTTCACATGTTCCGCCACGTGCCTAGCAATACCTCTAGGGGCAAAATTATGATTCCAGGGGGTTATCGGGATCTCCACCACAGCCTTGGCTGCCTATAAACCCTAAGCATTATCTGGATGGGGGGGGGGCAAGGAGACATTTCTTCTTTCCAATTGACATTCTATGATCATCCATTGGAACTTGTTGTGTCCAGGGACCGCGGAACAGGATCTACAGTTTTTAGCATGTTTAGCCCCCTAAAACATTTTAGCCCATCAATTTGTAATGTGCTCTGCGGTCCTTGACTGTGCCATAAAACCATTGTTCCCCACAATGGAAACATGTAAGCTAAGCCCTATGGTTACGATTAGTGATTGCTAATTTTGGCTACTTTGTTTGTCTGATTATCTGTTCATACCTATATACAACCATGCCACAATCACAACATAACCCTTCTGTCGGCAAATCATTACACAATTGGGGTCCCTTTTCTTGCTGCAGCCCTGGACACTGCTATACAGCCTGTCAGTTAACATATTTGTTTTTCATTCTTTCTTATCTCACTTGGTGTGTGTATTTTGACTTGAGGAAACGGTTTTGCAAAAAGTAAATTGTAGGACTGTTTTGGCTATTATACATGAGAGTGAATTATTGGACTTGATTGTAAGTTGAGGCTCGCCATTAACAAATAAATTTTACCATTACATCCGATTGAATGTAAAACCATATCTCTAGGAGGAAAGACTGGAGAATACATAAATAAAGAATTTGGTTCGAGAGCAGGGAAAATGAAAATCTATTTCGAGAAATTTCGGGTAAGAGCTTCCATTTTGTGACAGAGTTATTCATGTAAAACAACCAAAACACGATAAGTCCCACAAAAAAATGTTAAGCATTCAAGTTTTGGGAGTCCAAAAAAGTTTCATCAAACTTTGAACAGTTTCACAAGGGTTGGGGACAAAGTCATTAAAAGAGATTATGCAACAGGTCACTGCTATGTGTAAAGGTTATGAGCCGTGTTTTAAGGAAAACATCAAGAATGCTTAATCTGGAAAGATTCGGACGTTAGACCTCAATTATGAGAACAAATCGAAAGAACACAGAAAGGGATACTGCTCCTTAAGGCAATCGACAGATACTTAAGGGGCTTAAGCCATCTTTCATTCAAGAATTGACCAATCAGTGAGTGTGACTCCGCTTACACGTTTATTGATTGGCTAATGTTGATTGACATAAACGTTAATTATATTTGAATGTTAATATATATAAAATAGCTAAATATATGGAAAATCGCAACACTGGTTGAAAAGTGCAGATTTAATATAAACATCAGTTTATATTCTTCGTCGTGGTCTACCTACTTAAGATTACAAGATAAATTATACTGCACTTCCAAATGCGGTTTGTTGCTGTGATGAACTGGACATTTTCTTGCCCACAATTACGAAAAACAGTATCTCGATTCGTGATGGCTTTCAAACAAAGAATTAATTTTAACACAAAATTGATAGAAAAGCATTGAAAATTACACTCACCAATCATTGTGAGAGGATTACTGATTAATTGGGAAATATGCATATGAAAATTATGACCTCGTTTCATTCGAAACAAACTAAAAGACGTTTTTATCTGGGTCACTTACAATATGTCAGATAATTAGATTTCAATTGACGGTGAGATAGGCTTAAACACTTTAATTACATCTCACAATCAGATATGATAATACGAAATGAAAAATTCGCAACATCACACTAATGCAAAGATTGATTTAAGAAAAATTTAAACCGTATCACTTTGTTTCGATTCACTGCTTAAAAACCTGCTGATATTTCACATCTCTGATATGTAGAAATTGATGAAAACAGTGCACTGCCTTCTAACAAAACACTTATTCCTTTATATTTTATGTTGCATGTGCACTCCTCGTCTTTTCATGTGCTCTCCTCAATTTCAACCTTTGAATGGCCCTTTGCTCATAGACTATTGTTACTGTGCTGTTACACTACGTGCTTACTAAAACTAGATCATTTGGTACACATTTTCCATTCATTTTATGCACACCTATTCTTTTTTTAATTCTATCTTCCACTTCAGAAGTGATGTAGTCACAAAAAATAGATTTTTATAATTTTACGATTTTGAATATATAACCCGAACAAGAGTTGTGCAAAATAGGTTGAATATGTTACAAATTGGCTGAGAAATGGCCACATTAGCACAGGCTAATTTCCTATCAAACCTCTGTAATTTGATCTTGATTCACAACTTCATAATCATAACCAGGCCAGAATAACAGTAATCCGTTAGCAACTTTAAATCTATCATTGGCCATATCTCGTCATTTTTGAACATATCTAGCAGATAATGCATATTGAGAGGTATTTGATGCCGTTCTTTCACATTATCTAGCTAAAATTGAGAATTTCTAAAAATAGATTTTTGATCAGTGATGGACACCTGGGGGGGGGGGGTCGAGGTGGACTGTCCCCCCAATATTTTGCAGGACAATAATAGTGGTTGTTCTAAAACAATGGGAAAATGTGATGTCATCTTGTCAAACAATAGGCTTGTCCCCAATATTTGACCAAGTGTCCGCCCCTGTTTTTGATGACGTCACATTATAATTGATTTCTTTTAATCTGTTTACCTTTGGCTACTTTTCACTTATTTCCTCTCTTTTCTCCTATTTTCTCTTTCTTTCAGTGAATCATAAATGTTGCCAATACCTTTTTTGAAACCTGAGAGTTATGCATTACCAAAGTATGTTTTGAAAACTATATATAATCAATTTTCTGCACTTCACAGTAGCAATTTTAAAAGTGATATAAGTTACCTGTGACTGTTCATCTAATGCCTCTCCAACTTGCTTTCCAAATTTCCTTGCCAAAAAGAAAATTGTTCCTCCCATGACGGCTGCAAGAAGTGTCTACAAAAACGAAAGATGTTAGCGATGCATTAGTGTCACACCAGTGATGCAAATCTGAAAAGCCAACCAGCCATGTAAATTCTGATAGCTTAAGGCTCATAAAAAATAGAAATGTAGACAAATAAACAGTTTCCATGATTCTGACAAGATCCTTGAGGGTAATAGGCATCTAGCTCATTATTAGATCTTGAGAAAACAACACCCAAATGTGAAACTTAACATAAATAAAGTCAAATTGATTTTGCATCACAAAAGTTTTGCCTACAAATTAATATGCTCAATCTCAAACAAAATTCTGCAACTACACAGGTAAGATACTCAAGAACAAAAATTTAAGGGCATTGTGATGTGAGATACAGTTATCAGTCCGGAATACACTGTTTTTGTTCATATTAAAGCATATATCAATATTGAACATATGCAATCAAGAAGTTTTCAAATTTTTCCTACGAATAGGTTATTCTAAAGATTTTGAAATTTTCGAAATACTCACCTCTTCATGAATAATGAGTATTTCTTTTGATAGCAGGGTGGCAGTGAGGCCAGCACCAAAAATTGTTGCAGCTGGATAAAAAAATAACTGCGCTAGCCAGAAACTAATCAATCGGAAAAACTCAAAAGAAACACATTCATATATAATCTTCCAAATAAAAGCAATGTGTTTCTTATGAACTTATGCTATAAACTTAAGTCAGGTAAAAACCAGCCTATAAGTGCCAAAAAACTTGTATCTTTACTTCAAGATCCGAGAACAATGGGAGTTCTAAGAAGTTTAATTCTGACACTGGTTTAGTCCTGCAACACGGCTAGGAAACCATAAATATCCAAGAGCATGTAAATATAGAAATTATTGAAAACAGCTTGCTGTTCAAAGTTCCTATGAAGTGAAATTTCACACATAGTTTTTTGAAAGAAATTGAAACTTCTACATATTGTATTGTTGCTATATAAAACAAAAATTAACTCAAAAATTTGCACGAAAAGTTTGTTTTGAAGGTTTTAAAAACAATGAATGTGTGTGACAAAGCATAAGAATCAGTGATGTCACAAAGTTTGCAGTTGGTTCCGTCTTCACAGTAAACCCAATAAGGGCAGTTAGTCAAACAATTGTGAAAATTGTGATACCAGCATGAAATTTTGCAAAATAGGAAAGAAAGTTTAATATGCTGAAAAAGATAGGATATACCCTGACCGAAAATTGCCCCCTTAAGCAATTTTTAGACTAGGGTACTTTGCCCCAGACCTTAATAGACGGTATTATCATATTTCAGTCATACTTTGGTACAACAGTATGAAACTTTGCAGATAAGAACAGTCTTCCCCCTTTGACTATTTCTACATGTAGTTCCAATAGTGACCTCCATTTTGCTTAGTGTACTAAATTTCATTTTATAGGCACCTTAAAGCTCACGAGGAAGACTTTTATGTCTCATAAATGGAATACTTTCGTTCTAGTGGCTTTCTGTAAAAAAGCCAGTCTTAATCTACAAACAGAAGACTTGAAAATTGATCAAAAAACTTTCATATAACAGAAATACCTGAGACACCAGCCTTTTCCTTGTAAACTTCCCATACTGATTTGGATGGAGGGTCATCTACAGCAGCATCTGAATAGAAAAAGGTCACCTTCTTTAGATTTAAATGACTCACATAAATTATAAAATATCTACAGTATAATTGTCTTATTTGACACCACAGTGCTTGATGTACCTAGTGACAAAACAATTGATATACCAGAGGTTTAAGAGGATACATATTCACAGTTATTCTGAGGTTCATCTTTGCATACTCATCAGACAGACTCTCTGTAGCTTTTGAAATGATAGTGTACTTTTGGATAAAAAAATTATACTATATAAACTACACTAAAATAAAAAGTTTAATGATGCATACATAATTTTAGAGTAAATTTGTGCTACCCTGATTATGGGTTTCATAATGCATTATGGGCACCATATGCATTAATTCCCTTGGTTAAAAATACAGGTAGACATGCTTTAGAATTTATAAATTTGAAACAGGAATAAACACTGAATTTTCATGTAGAAAAAATAAAGAGAGGTAGGTTTAAGTTTCAATCAGCAATCAAATGCTTTAACTTATCAAAGTTACATTCTTTTGAAACCCTGTTGGTGCAGTTTTTTTCTTATATTCACATAAAATCTTTACTAAACCTACACCAATTTACCAGACAATACCACAGGGAGCTTGGGAATACAAAGCAACCCTGTGGGAATTTAGATTCAACCAACAAAACTAAATTAACTACAATTTAAAGATGCAAAATGAACAAAAAGAATAAATAGAAACTATTTCTAGAAAGAGGAGAGGATACAGGACAAGGTAGCTATCAATTAGTATCCAGAAATAGTCAATCAGTTTTTGACAAATATATAAACCAAAAACACACAAGGCAAAAAACTATACATATCATAAATGTATACTGAACTATATTTCTTATATATAATAAATGAAAGAGTTAGATACCTGGACTCTTTGGTGTATTGGTAGTTGACACAAGCCTTGGCAAAGCTCTAAAATCAATCAAAAACATATATTCAATAAAAAGAGTGAAAATATGAGATTTAACAATTTAAATATATAAATTTCCAAATAACAAAAATTGGTTAAGCTTAATAGGCTTGCTATTTAGTCACAGAGCACTATAGGCTTGGATCATCCAGTTTTCCATAAGGTTTAAGAAAATTCAAAAAATAAGAGATTCAAGTTGAGGAACCTCCCTATATCAACAGCAGCTTACAAGGAATTCGCTGACAATTACTATCAGATATGAGCTACATGATAAAATGTTTTCATTACTATATATATAATATATTGATTTTTCAGTCCTTTGCCATAACAAAGGGCACAAAAAGTGCAACTCAAAGTACAAGAGCACCATTACAAATTGTCATGATTTGCTGTACACATAATATATATAAATTAGACTTAACAAAAGTATATAACTGTTTTATCATTCTGTCATGAAGTGCAGGATGCCTTATATTAGATGAAAGATAAAGAGCTTTTCAATAAAACTTGAAACTTCATAATGTTTGAATTCCAGAATTAAAACAGTAAATAGTGAGTCATTTATTGCTGACTGAGCACTGGTGTGTATATCTTGCAACTAACTAAAGAATTTGTTATGCTTATGACCAGAAACAATCACTACCGTAAATCCTCGAAAAAGCCCCGGGGGCTTATTTGCAAAAATGAATTTTTGGGTGGGGGCTTATTCGAGGGGGGGGCTTATTTCAAAGTTTAGTATTTTCCCCAAAGGTCATCATAAAAATGAAATTACTTTTCTAACAAATCTAACAAATATTATAATTTTTATCATCACAAAAGTTGCTTTTTTGCTTTTTGGTCTCCAGTCAAAGGAATTAACACTTTATAGCTACTGTCCTGTGGGAGCTTTCTTGAAATAAGATATTATTCTGCAATTATGCTTACCTCGAATAAGCAACCATGGGGGGGGGGGGCTTATTTGCAAAAATAGGAGCATGGGCAACCACCAATATAGTTATAGAATATAAGGCAAAGACTGAGATATTTTCAATTTCCAAGCAAAAACAAAGAGTGTACACATTTGTTATTAAACTTTACCTTGCCAGCTGAAGGCTTTTCTTTCCTGAAAAAAACAGACAATCAAGTGTTAGTCTGGATTTCAGGACAGACTAGTGATCTAGCACATTAAAATCCTATCGTGAAAAACTGAGCTTTGAGTGGCGATGCCTCTCGTACTGAACTCTCGTGTTGAGACTTCTCTATGCATGTTCAATCTAATCATTGATCAGTGGCATCTTCTAGCACTTTTTATCCATTAATCTATTATTTCTTGCACTCTGAGCATCATACCGATACTCGGTCCTGCTCAGTATCGATGTAAAGTAGAAGTCACTCTCTGACTCTGGAGTGTAGACCGATGAAGTAAAACAGTGGTAAACATAATAATATGCAATTGAGATGAATACTTTGCTTTAATACCAAGCTATGTTAGGCTTTCCCTTACAGTCTGCATATCAGTTGATGTTGGATGTTAAGAAAACAAATTTGGATCAAATTATAAAGAGGATCACCGAGCAGTCGATCAAGTTTGAAGGTGAAAACAGACAAGAGGAGTGCAAACTTATAGCTGAAATAATATTTGCAAGGCTGTGATGAAAATCGCATAATTTCTGTTCAAAAGTTCTTATTTGGGCCTTGGTATCTCTTACCTGTCTTGGAAATTGCAGCAACCCTGGACAACATGACGAAAACGTAGACAAGCAGTCCTATTTATCGTGTACGAATATGGCCTAGTTCAGCGAGGAAAGATGACCGGCGTGCAAAGGCTCATGGGGGATGCAAAAGGTGCAGCAGCAACAGCAGCCTTAAAACTGTAAATAAGAAAGTCACTGTGACACAGCCTTGCTAGGCAGCACAATCCTTTAAAGTGTCAAATTTGAAAAGAAACTGCGCAAATTATTGGAATTAGGCAAATCTACTACAATTAGAAATTGACTGCCATTTAAAATCAGAAATGGTGTTTTGGGGTAGTAAAGAAGTAACTTTCTAATGTAGATTATGCAGATCCCTACAAATACCTTGTGAAAGTTACAAATGATGTTTAAAAAATTTTTAAAATCATAATATCACAGTTGAAATTATGAAATAGTTAAAAGATTTTAAGTCAGTCTAGAAGGACGCAATAACACTAGTAATAAATATGTTTTTGTCGATGTTTGGAAAGGATTAGATAAAAAACTCACTGGGTATTCATGGTACCTGTACAAAATATTAAAGAATTCCTTGCATCAGGGTTAAGAATGTTGCAACATGGAAACTAATAGTTTATAGTTAATACAAGCAAATTTGGTGGCTTGAAAGCGTTTTAGGTTCTGTTGCTATGGCTACCAATATATCGGCATTGCTAGATAATAAGTTGTGATTCTCCAAGTTGTTAATTAAAACTAAAATCAGGATTAATACTTTTGTCATGAAATTCATATTCATTCAAACCGAGTGGGCATTATTACTGTTAGCGAAGCAAAAGCAAGTCCGAGAATTGAGTTTTTGTGTCACTCTAACTGTGGTGAACAGGGTCGCTCAAAACATATAGGAGCTTTAACCTAGGAATTTTTCATTAGTTACCAAATCTTTTGAAAAGAAAAGGCACTTTGCTTCCATTTATTAAAACTATATGAGTTTGGAACTTGGTTGCAGATTCAATTTGTTCCAAATGGTTTCATTTTGCTTGAGCTCGAAATCAGAAAATTGACAATGAATTAGCATTGTTTTTATCAAATTAAAGTTTAAAATCGCAAATTGAATTAATAAAGAAGCAAATTCCTTTAATACTGGAAAATAACATGCAATTGGTAACCAAGGAGAAAAATTGCGACAAGCTTAACAAAATTTAACCTTTCATGATTAGGTTTAATGTAACAAATGTGTTCAATTGTGTATGAATATATCTGTTGTCTCAGTGCATTTTCTTTTTATGTTTCCAGCAAAGTTCGTAATTTTGACTGCACGCTGTAAACTCTGCTGATTGTTAATGTTTAATAACTGTCTCGTGAAAAATTTTTTATTCATGTAAACTGTTTTTGCTGCAAATTTTTTAGGAGGTTGTAATTCGGCGTTGTTATTAGATGACTTGTCGTCAGAGGGTTGACTTCTCGCTTAGTGCTAACTCTGCCGGACTGGTATACCTTACATCAATGCAAGAAGGATAAGACTCATTCGCAATACACTGAGTTTAATTGCGAGGTGTATCTAAAATTTCCACAAACAGTGTGGGGGCTAACTGGAGGGGGCTAAGTGAAAACAGTTGAAAATCAAGAACTGTTCATTATGAAAAGCTAATTTGCACTTCACAGTGTAAAATACAGTAAATCTTGATAGCTACTGTAATTGGGCAATGTGGGTGCTATGTGCTAACTTGAATTATTGCCAAGAATGCGACAACGATTTTTGAGTGATCTAAAGCTGGCTGCTGGTTGGCTGTTGTCGATGAGCAGATTCGTCTTGAAGTCGGTAAATTCCTAGAGGTACAAATACGTGCAAGAGTATAAAGCCTTGATATCCCCCCAAAACAACCGAGTTTTAACTTTGAAAAAAGTAACAAAAGAAAATACTGCCTATGGTAAAATCATAAAAGGAATTTTTGTCAATGTTGGTACCTGCCACTGCCTTTCAAAGCCTATTAAAACCCTCGCGCAAGCTTCATTCTTGTCCCAAATTGAATTTGTTAGTGGCTTTTGCAATAAAGATTGCACCGATAAATGGCAAATGCTTTTCAAAAATGCTACTAGCGTACCATGTGATTTCATTTGAAATGCTATTTTTATACCAAAGAAAAAGGGTTTGGCCACGGATTAAATAATTCATTTGAAGAACCAAGACCTTTTTTCAGACTGAGTTGACTTGAACGTTTTGCCACCACTCATTGCATCTGGGTGCAACAAAAGGCGCACGATCATCATATATTGGTCATGATATTTTAACATGCAAACTAGGTGCTGAATTTCCCGTTAGACTCTTAAATTTCTGATATATATAAGCATAATTATACCGCATTTTGACATACCTTTAATGGGATAGGGTATGCTTTTGGCAATTTTCTTATGGTTAAGGGTCAGGGTGCAAAAAGGTTTATCCACAGTCCTGTCACTTTCCTAGTCAAGTGTCACTCGGGGGTCCACGTGGATGATCAAACTTGTTTTGCCTTTAGCTGCATAGCTCAAAATATTGCATAATTGAATTGATGATCGCCTGTAGAAATGCCTCGTAGGTCTCCTGGTTATTACCCAGAACAAGATTCCAAGTACAAGTATTAAAAATGTATCTCTTTAAATATCTCTTAACCAATTTCTCGGAGGTCTTGTGTTAGCTCCAAAATATATTCGATATTTTCCCCGCAAGCACAGCATGGGAGAAAGGATTTGCTACACTAAATAAATTGAAGTAATTACTCGTATCAAGTCGGTGACAAATTACTAGCATAGCAAAATGTCAAGCGACCTACGTATTCTTGCGATCCCTTTTAGTTCCATACCCCAACATTTACATCATTTTGGCCAGATTGTGAAAAAAACAGAGATGAAGGTATTTTGAACTAACAAGATTACCGATTTGTTTGAATTTGTTTGCAATAACTCCGACCTTTTGATCTAAGCCCCCTACGATGCATGAATGGAGAAGTAAACGCATATGATGTGGATTGCTTTATAGTTGTGATAAACGCATTAGGAATTGGCTTATTCTCAGTGATTCGACCTCGCATTTGACTAACTTCCTATCCCTTATGACACACAAATGTGGACCTTCAGAATGTCCATCCAATAATGCAGAATGTGAGAGGGAAATTTGATTACGAGGTTTCTTTGTCAGTCGCGAGCAGGCGCATGCCACTATAATCCTTTTATATCAGTGATAAGCCTTCTTTCTTTCTTTTACAAACATATTTGTTATCTGAGATAATTCCATCATACTCAATGTGAATCAATATCTGCAATTATTTTTCGGTGGCTTTCAGCGACCTCGTACTGTTTGCTTCAAATTCCGTGCTCTAAACAGGTCTCTTTCCAGAACACGATCTACAAATAATTTTTGACCTTAGATAAAAAATAATGAAACATACTTAGTGAAGTTATTCTAACCTGTCTCTGCAGGGCAAATCAATTAATCAAATTTTTGTTTTCTTGAACCACACTTGTTGCATGCTACACGGGAAAGTCAAATGCAAAACCAACGTTGCATGGAAATGGGACTGCAATAGCATCCTTTTTAGAGGGACACTGGAAACCTGATTTTTGCTAGCCAGCGCCAATCCAAATGATGCACAAAGGGTAAATTGTGGGGCGAAGAGCTAATGGGTCTGGGGTGAGGCTCATAGAAAACTGTTTGTGTCATTGAATTTTAGAGAGTATCTCCCAAAACCAAGCGTTGCATTATTTGCACGCAAACTTTAATAAATTTGTGGTAGTTATCAAAGAATACGAAATTGACCTTTACATAAATTTTAAACAAAACGCCTGGAATTGACTTTCTTTTGAGAATTCAGGGGGTGTTTGATTTCTCCCCTAACATTCATTTTCAAGAGCCAACGCAACCAAATTTGTATTAGTTTAAAAAATGGTACCAAAAAATGCCAATATCTTAAAGGAGAGCTGTAGGGTCCTTGTTCTAAGATTGGCAAGTAGTTCAAAGTTTTCCGAAAAATGACGTTCATACCTGAATAATACCAGTAAGTTCTTATCTTGATCCAAATGGTACTGTGCAGTCCAGCAGAAAAAATATTATGCCATGCAATCAGAAACAACGATACTACGGGTTTTAGTAACCAATCTTTGCATGTAAATAAGCAAAGGTTACTTAATTGTTAACTTATCCAAACGGAGACGCCTAAAGCATTTCAAAGTTGGTGCTGTACAGGAATCAAGGGGCACTGCTTCAGGAAAAAAGGGAACTTTTTTGCTAGAGTTAGGGGCACGTAGCTTGATGCACCTCAAACTTCAACGTCCTTGTACCAAAGTTCAAATCAAAGAAAACTCTGATACATGTTGCATTGGAAGAAAATAACTAAAATGGGTGGTAAGCAAAGCTATAAATCTTCACAACACTCTTGCGGTCTAAGTGAAACCCCGGCTCAAGTTCCCCTTTCCATCTTTCTGTATAACTGAGGCTTCGTCAAGCCAATCAATACAGTAGACAAACTGTATCTTGGTAAGCTACCTACATACATCTGACTTACAAACTACCCGTGTTAGAAAAGGTGCTTAGCCATTACACGAATGAATTCATATATTTGGGACCCCCAGCCGCCCACAACTAGTAAAGGCCTTGCGATAAATCTTAATCCTTTTTATTCCATTAAGATAATCCATTTAGAAACTGAATAGATTTCAGTTTTTCGTTTCCACAAAATCTAAAAAGGTGATTCTTTGAAATTAAAGAATTGGGTAACAATTTTTTGTATCGTCCAATTGCCCCTTGCAAATATAAGATTTCAAGAAACAAAGAAAACATAAGTTACCCAACCATTTACGTCAAATGTTTATCTCTGTAATCTTATATTGTCTTGGAAAAACAAATGATTATTTTGGAAAATATTTTTTCATTGGAGTTATAGGGTTAAATGGTGGATCTGCAAGGGCTGCCACTTGAACTTCAAAGTGACGGGGTCATAGAATAGAAAGAGGTCATAAACTACCAAAAAAGTATCATATGAAAAGTACAGGGCCATGGCTGGTACAGTTATTGTCCTCTACATAAAGCTTACGTAAAATCACATTTAAATTCACACAGAAAAGTGTCAAATTATTGTAAAATGAACATAAAATCCCAAATTACAAGCAAGTTTCGGGA